TTTATTCTACACAATCAAGAACTCTCACTTTTACTCAATATTTACTCTGAGAATCAATTCAAAATAATACACACAATAGTAAATGCAAGATTATGGCATACAATACAGTTTCTGGTTACTAGTATTTGAGATGTAAAGTTTGGGTACAAATATTATCATATAAATCAACAATTGATTTAAAACTCTCACTGGTATTTAACCTATAGATGATCTAAAATGTTTTAACAATTAAAAATAATTAATACTGATTTCAAAAACATGTGACTACACTAAAATACTAAAACATGATTGCTGTGGAGAAAACATGATTAACTATTCTAAGTTTGGGCAGATTGGTTCAACTACAAACAGATAATACAAATTACACAGTACATTTACTTAATACATGGAAGACAAAGATAAGACAACACTAAAACAAATATTTAACACTTACACTTGGGGTATGACTTCACGAAACGGTCAAATTTGACGACGTTTCCCGATGCCAGACGGTCAGACTCAATTTAATATCTCAATTCGATAATCTTGTGAACGTTCTTTTGCGAATTCGATTTTAAGCACCCCAGTATATTCAGACAATTGTTTCCGATTTCGAAATACACGTACTGATTTCCCGAAAGTGAATTTTTCACGAATCGATTTGACATTTGACTGTTTACCCAATATGGTAATTTTTTCATTTTTTCCCATTTTATTGTCTTTTTTTGCCTTATTTCTACTTTTGTTTGTACTGAGGGCAAGAGCGATTGGAGATGGAATAGCTGTTATAATACAATACCTGATACCAATGAGTCTCACAAATAGACCACTTATCTCTCTACGCGCACACATTGCACACTGTGGGTAAAAAACCAGCACTCGATGAAGCAGACAGCTGCATTCCATTCATGGTTCACGATATCAAAACTGTAACACGACAACTCAAGTCGCCACCGCAAAATTTTTTTCATTTTTGATCTTACTTGAGTGATTCATATCAAAAATAAAGTAAAGGGCTTGTTGATCTGTCATTTTGAAATGATGACCGGTAAGAAAGTGTTTCCATTTCCTTCTACAATGCCACTTGCTTCCTTTTCAATAGCAAAGTGTCTTCTTTCAGTGTCAGAAAGACTGCTGGAAAAGAATGCTACAGGTCTTCCATTTTGACTTGGAGTTGCAGCAACAGCAAAGTCAGATGCATCAGTCTCTACCAGTAGTGGACTTTCTGGGTCAATGGTAGTAATAATCGAGCTGGCAATGTCCTTTTTCAGTTCATCAAAGGCAGATTTTGCAGATTGAGGCAAAGGAAAAGATTTACAACGGACCAAGTTTTGTATTTTGTCTGAAAAATTACGTATCCACTTAGAATAATGGACAAACATTCCCAAAACACGCTTAAGAGATGTTGCATCTTTGGGAGGAGGCATTTCCAACAAGGGTTTCAGTCTGTCTGGATCTGGTCTCATGGTTTTATTACATATCAAATAACCTAATAGCTTCAATGAAACAAAGAGAATACTTGGACTTCTTATCGTTCAAAGTGAAATTATACTTTTTAGCTACCTGAAGAAACCTTTGTAAATTCTCTGTTTAGGAAAGATAACTAAACGTTAAAGAAAAATACTTATAATGTAGGTTGAAAAAAAGGGTGAGGTAAAATAATGAAATAATTCTGACCACTCTTAAACATGCAATCTGCAAATTAATTTGGGTGTGGTTTGGGACTCTTGCCACTCTATTTATCCAGTTCTTGTTCAAATAACTATCACATTTCCATTAATGCCATACATACATGAATATCAAAAGTGGAAGTTGATAATTAGTTCGGTTTTCTATTTTAGTATTTTCAATTAGGTAGTCATTTTCCTGTTTTGACGGAAGTATTATTAGTTAAAGAAACCTCTTTCTAAAGTATGTTATGTTACTCTGTTGTTAAATAATTCTTTATTCCTAAATTGGAATAGAGATTGAAAATAAATAAAGAAAAAAATCTAACAAATTAATTTAGTTTTTTAGTGTTATTTTTTTCTTTAAGCTTTAAATTGAAACGATCCATTTTAATTATATTGCTGTGAAATTATTGTGCAAATGTCGTTTGTGTAGAAGCATGTTTTCAAGTTTGGTCTTAGAAAAAAAATATTTAAAATATTTGCAGGGTACACTAAATATATATTTAGTGAATACGTAGTAAATACATATTTATAGATGAGCATTTAAATAAAATTTCAAACTAATTTAAACTAATTTCACTGTAGTGAACCTATCTAAAATACTTTTTATCTGACTACACAAACTGCACAAAAATAAAATGTATAAATGCATAAAATTATGACAGACAATTTTGAATAAATTATAACTGTGTTATGTTTGTTTTGTGTGTGTGTTTTTTTTTTTTTTTTTAGTTGAGAAGAGTACAAAAAACACTTTTTATTCATCTCCAGTAACAGTAGTGTTGTCTATAGGGGTCAAGTTATATTTAGATTACCTCCAGGCCAGTGTTTTTATCAGCTGTTCCGTGCCTTCTGTATCTGTTACTCAGTCAGTGTTTGTTAACGGTCCACAGGAGTCAGGTTGTTTATTAGAGCGTTACTTAGTTAACGAGATTTTGTAAGTGAATCGTCTGTGATTTGTGTTGTGTTAGTGTTAATTGGGTTAATTAGTACAGTAGTTAAATTTAAGAGGGGAAGCGAACCTGTTTTTGTTTGTTACCGTACATTCGTTTACTTATTTAAATACATCTGTAAATTCTATGTTCAAAATGACAATGGTGTTTCAGTTTTGGTGGGTCTAAACTAATGTATTAAATTTTAAATTTATAAACACTGAGTATTTTGATGCAATTATTGTTTTAGGGTTGAAAATTACATTTATGTTGGTATACACTTTTTGTACTATTCATTTTACAATGGATAATTAAAGTGCTACCAGTAAGTTTATTTCTTGTGCTAAAATTTAATCTAATCCACTTTTTGTAACAATTTCTTGAACAAATAATTAAAATAATAATGACTTTTTAGGGTTGAAAATTGCATTTATGTTGGAGTACACTTTTTGTACTAATTTATTTTACAATGGACAATAAAAGTGCTTAGTTAACTTCTTGTGCTAAAATTAAATCTAATCTACTTTTTGTTATGATTTCTATTAAAAAAATAATAAGAAGTTTGAGTAATACATAACTTGCAGTGGTTCTTGAGTTTATTTTCTTTTTACTTACAGTTAAGTGGCATCCCCATCTTAAATAATTGATATAATTGATTGATTGACGAATCTTAGATATCTCTTCAGTTTTTTGGAATTTCCAATTTTAATTATTTTCTTCTTGTTAGCTTCAAATTATCATACCAATTTCATTTATTTAGCTTACATAATAATAAATATTCTACAGTCTTCTCTTTGGCTTCAGTTAAAGATTCCAATTTTCTCTGTTTAGCCTCAGGTAGGAATTGTTTTGAGAGTTAAATAGCTAGTTTAAAGTGGAATAATGGATTCAAGCAAACGAAATCATAGTTCTATACAGGACTTCACAATAGTCCACATCTTTTAGAAATCTTCTCTCATTTTGATTGTGATAAAGAATTTTAAAACTATTTTTGTAGTTGCAATTGTTTAAAACTAATCTAAAACAAAACTAGAGAAGTAATTTTAAAATAAAAAAGAATGTTTTTAAGTCTTAAGTTTAAGAAAATTTGTAGCACTTGAAAACCAATCTAACATTGTATAATTTTACAAGTTTGATAATTCAATTTAAACTTTTAACTTTACTATTTTAAGTTTTATTAGTTATCTAAAGTCAAGTTTTAAAGTAGTGATAATAGTAGTTAAGTTTTTAATAGCTTACTTTTCTAAACTTTTTTATTTGTCGATCATTTTAAAACTCACACTAAGATTACTTCAAAACAGTTTTTTTTATTTAAAGTTTTTATAGAGAGGTTCTAAAGGTTTCCCTTTTCTAAATATTAACTATTTTCAACATAAATATGTATTGTAATTATCTTTTTCTCTTAATTCTCAACTCATAACAAATAATTCTCTTAAATTTGCTCTTAATTCATCTTGCACAACTGATAATTTTTTCCTTGTAAATTTATTGCTGTTAACTCATACATCTATCACAAGTATATCTACTAACCGAGGTACATAACATTGCCCTTAGGTTTCCCGACATATTTGTCTCTTGTTAATTCAATGGTGAAGATATTCTTAATAACCATTGCTTAAGCAATTTTAGAACTCTATTAGATTTTAGTGGTTTCTATTTCAGTTAGCAATTAATTAAAGAATGTTGGAACTAAAAACTTTCTCTTTGTAAATTTGTGTAGTCTTAAGAAGGATGTACAAAACTTCAATGAAAAACATACAATCATGTGATATCCATAGCAAAATAAACTATAATTATTCTTTTACATAACTTCTGTTCATAAAAAAGTAAAATGGTTTATCAAAATATTTATCAAGGTTAAAGGACGCTGACTAAGGTTGATTTAAAAAAAAAAATGATTGAGAAAAGTTGTTAATAATGAAATATGGGGAAATTTGAATTACATGAATAAATGGTAAAAAAAAGCTACGAACAATTATAAAATTGCATAGTCAAGTTAACAAGAATTATTGATTGTGACAGATAAGTCTTCAACTGTCAAAAGAGGTAGTGACACGGAAGCAGAGCCGTGGAGGGTGGGTCGTTTTAGTTGTATCAATCAATCAATCATTGAGATGAGGACAACCTAGGTGCGTATTTTAACCCAAATATGAGTGCAGGAAGAGTGTAGAATGGTTTGAGATGATCTGTGTAGCTTTGTTACTGACTAAGATCAGCTGTTTCATTAGCCAGGATTATTTATTTAAAGCCCGATGATCAGGAACAGCTAGGTCCAGTTTCAAACCATCAATAAGCTACACACTTCTCTCAGGTTCGATTCGGCAACTTGATTGCCAGGCGAGAACTATAACCACTCAGCTACCCAGCCTATACTATAATCTATACTCTATTCTACATAGTATATTCTCCGATGTTGCAGTCATGTCCCAAGATGTTTCTGGACGGTGCGAGGAGGGTGGACTTTGTGTTGGCGTGGATGTCCCCCTCGACTCGGACACCGCTGCAGGTCAGACAGGCGGAGGAGGCGCAACGGAAAAGAGACATCTTCGAACGTCACCTGGAGATTGAAGGCCTGGAACTAGAGAGGGATCATTGCGACAAACATCATTTCGTCAAGATCCACGCACCACAAGAGGTTCACATTTATATTTATTTACAGATTATCTTTACGTTACAAAATGACAGATTACGTAGACAAATTATTATATCCAATACTATCGGATTTTGGATACCTTAGTAGACATAATCTATATGAACCAGCTTTTGCCAACTTTTTATAAAAAAAAGATAGTTAAATGAGTTACTCACCGAATGTGACAGTATGAAAATTTATTTTCTCCAATTGTTTTATTTCTGAGATAGTTGATATGACGTAGGCTAAAGCTGGGTTTTCCTAGGTGCGGGGAGCAGATGGCAGAGTACGCTCTCCCCTTGTCTAAGGTAATTTAATGGTTCTGTTTTTCTAGTAGCAAAGCGGACTGCCACTGGACGAGCCAAAAATCACTTCTCCGTACTCTGCACTCTACTCTCCACGCTCCGCTTCTGCGCCCAGGAAAACCCAACTTAAAAGATACTATAGATTACAATAAGTAAACTTTTTAGTTTGACTTGGCTAAAAAGTTGGTATATTCAACAGAAATCAGCAATTTACATTGCACCCTTTGTCTGTAGCTCATTTGTTCTTTAATTCATTGTATACCTAAGACTTGAGGAATTGAGGTAGCCTTTCAATAGGTAGTTCTCATTTTAACAGTCAATAAAATAATCTCTTTGTTTTGCGTTACTTGAAGTAACCAAATTCTTTATGTTACAGGTGCTTTGTAGATATTGTGAAATTATGAAGCTAAGAATGCCTATGAAAGAGGTAAGTTGAGATTTTTTTTTAAACTGAAAGCGTTTTTACCTGTAGGTTAAACACTAATAATTGTCCTAGTAATGGTATATAATAACTAATTGAAAAATTTATGTTTTTAACATGACTGAATCTAGTCCTCTCAAAACTTATGTTTCCTTAAAATCTGTAACAAAAATTCAGAGGAAAAAAATTTCAAGTTTTAATATTGGACAATAGATATTTTAAAAGCCTTTAAGTTCTTTATGGAAGTTGATACTGAAATTCAAGTTGCAGGATATTATATGAATCAATAAATAGATTATCTTTGTAGATTTTTGTACACTCAACCCTCATTTTGAAAAATTGTTATTAGTTTTTTTACGGTAATTCAACGATTTTGAAACACAACCTTTTAAGAACACTTTAACCAACACGCTGGACTCCTGTAATGTGAGGAAAGTTATTTTGTAAGTTTTAATGATATCTTTTACTTGGGTAAAAAATAAGGTCTGTTCGGCAACTATTATTAAAACTATTTCAACTTCACATTGACCTTAGTGTGTTCTTGTCATGAGGGCTCTTCGACCTTCAGCCCAACACAAGGTCAAATAGGGTGCCAGAAATTAGTAGTGTAATTTTGGTTAGTTGATAATCAACATAATAATTTCTTAAAAATTCACATGTTAAATATTATTTAAAATGATTGTAAAAGGAATAAAATCTGTCCAGCTGGAAGATAACGAAGAGTCGTTGGGGTCGCAGCCCAACCTGTACACTGAGGTCCGTTCCTTCATCTCCAAGCTGACCAGTTGCTTCAGGATGGATTCTTCTGTGTTTCCCCAGGACAAGTTCGTACCCTCCGCTGAGTACAGCCGCGACAAGAGCTACTTGTAAGTGTATTTTTAAATCTACCGATTAGAGGTGAAAGAAGGTTCTTGAAGGTTCAACTGAACCTGAAATTATTTTGACAGCTAAATGGCTTGCAGTTGGCTTGTCCTGCACAAAATATTCCAGGACAATTTTCTTTCATAGCCTTTTCATATTGTATTTGAATGAACAGTGGCATAGCCTCTTAAACAAGGGCGAGGCCTTGTATTTGGCAATGTTACTTTTATTATTTTATTTTTAGTTCCGTCTACCAACGATGTAAAAACCACTGGATTGCGCTCTCAGTAGCACTGCGGGCGCTGTTTTCGGTCTAGCTCCCCCCACCATCTACTGGCAGTAGCCGACGCAGCCCATACACTCACCATTGTAAAACGCACCTTTTTAAGTTGCCGCTCTGTTTAAATATATAGATATAAAATATTGCTAATGCATGCCAAACACTTTTACTATTCTAAACTTTATGTCTTCTTCTTTTCTTGCAGAAAAAAACACATTTGAACACTTAAAAACCCTACTACATTTGTCCAGTTTTTACCGCAAATCTATGCTTGTCATTAACGTGATAGGCATACTTTTTTATGACCTATTTTGTAAAATACATTGTCATTAAACATTGAAAGAAAAAATATCGCGTTTACGTCAAACATAAAGTTACCACTGCGGCAAAAACTTAGCAAAGTTATTCAAAATGTTTATGTACTATTTTTTTTTATTAAAAAAATAGAATTTCAATTACAAATATTGTACTCTATTTTCTCCTTTGTAATCACTTATTATTTTACCATGTAAAATTTGGAACTAGCAATATCAGTTGTCTAAAAACATCTACAAAACGGGTTTAGTTAATTTGTAGTTTTAAAAAATTCAGATGGGCTATTTTCTGCAAGAAACAAGACAAGACATAAAAGGTTTAACTAGTAAAACGAGTTTGACAAGCGTAAGCAATATTTTATCCCTATAAATTTCAACAGAGCAGCAAATAAAAAGTGTGTTTTATAATGGTGAATGTATGGGCTGCGTCGGCTTCTGCCAGTAGATGGTGGGGGAAGCTCGACCGCGCGGCCAACACTGAGCCAGCGATCCATGAGTTGTTTATATCGTTGCCGTCTCCCGAGCCAGCTGTACTGATTCATATGGAGCGTCTGTGCAATGCTTGTTTTGAAAATAAAAATTAAAAACTAAAACACACGAGATTAACATAGTCTACGTAGAAAATTTAGAGCGTTATCGTCAATGTGTCTGATTTTCATGTATGTTTAAATTCGTGGAGTGATTTCGAGTGGTACAGTGTTTGCCACTTAGTTGGTTGCGGTATTAGAGGTGGCCATGATATTTGTAAAATAGGAATACCAATAGACAATAATCACACCAACGTTTGGAAACCATAGCTGAAATGAAGCTTTTTGTTAGTATGCTTCTTCTATACATTTATGTTCACCTGTTTGGTTGTAAAGCACCAAGCAACTTACTATATACGTTTATGGAAGTAAGCTGGTCTAGTGGCAAAGCACAGGGCTTTGGTCCCTGAGATCTCGGGTTCAAATCCTGCCAATCACCAATGGATTTTATCTATATGATAATGCTATGACCCTCTAGGACTAGCCTGAAGCAATGTGTAAAACAATTTTGAGCTAGAGTCTAGCAAACTACAATTTAAATATAGTAGATACAATAAAAAAATAATAAAACTGCCTATTCTTACAGATTTGACGAGGAGGCAGAAGACTTCTTCTCGGCTGCCGTCAGAACACTCGTAGTGGATTTTATTCTGGAACGCCAAAGTTTTAGTGAAGATGAAAGTGACGCACAGTCGGTCGGCATCAAGAAACTTCTGGCAGACGGAGTATACAGGGCCGCTTACCCCCTCCATGATGTGTGTTGGATTGACCACAGAGTTGCTAATTATTTTAAAACGTCTGAAAAAGACCTACACCCATAATTTGTGTTTAAAATTCAGGGTTTGAGGGGGGGGGGATTTGCCTCCTGCTAGCCCTTTAATTTGTACCTACTAGCTCCATCTAGTTATAGAGTTTTTATTTCTTGTTATTAGCTGTTCTGGTTGTGGAAGAAGGAAGAATATGCTGTACATTCTATTGTGTTTGTCACTATCACTATGTCACAATTATACATAATAAAAGTTATTCTATATTTACAAAAACCTACTGAGTGTAGGGGCAGGATTTTTAACTGTATAGGTTTGTGGGTTCTCTGCATTTGGTTTCACTGATGAGAAACTCCCCATGTCCTCAATCTTGAAAAGCAGGATGAAGAAAGGGCTTTAATGAAATATGTAAAGAAGTAGCTGTTGAAATCTGTGTTATGGATGGCAACATTATCTATGGGAATGCCTAACTATTCACTAAACGTAAGCCTGCTTTCCAACCTACTACAGACTATTTTTTATTGAAATTACATAAATGTTTCCTCTGTTGGGCAGGGTGACTACCAGATAGACGGGTCTCTGAGGTATCTACTGTACACAGAGTGGGCTCAAGTCAGTAAGTGGATCATGTATCAGCCAATAGATCAAATTAAGGAGTACTTCGGTGTCAAGTTCGCTCTGTACTTCGCCTGGCTCGGGTTCTACACACACATGCTCATACCAGCGTCTATCGTAGGACTGCTGTGCTTCGCTTATGGCGTCTTCACTATCTTCACTGATACGCTCAGGTGATATTTCATTATTGGAAATTAGTTGGCTTGGATTATAAACTGTCGTTTGAAAAATAATAGAGTATTTTTTGTTGGTATCAGTTGTTTATTGATTTTTTTCTTGTTATAAACCATTCATTGTACTTGAGAGGATATCTTATTTTCTGTCTGTCAGTCTGTTTGTGATCTGTAGCTAATTTTATAATTCAGCTTTGGTAGAGTAGGTGTAAAATTAAAATTAATTTCTTTAACCTTGTTTCTATTTACAATAGTTATTTTATGTAACTAATGTGCGAAGTGGCACTTTGCATTCACATCACACATTATATATTTTTCAGTTACTATAAAGCATATAAATGATTAGGTTTTTATTAGCACACTGTACAACAGGTTTTTAGGTTAGGTTAAATCCAAGCGTTGAACGAAATGGGAAATACTGCACCAGCTGATCATAGTCGTAGTATCTTTAAGTGTTGCCAACTTATTTTCAAGCGTACTTATATTACGTGCCTAATAAAAGCACACTGTTTTGTGTTTTTTGGTTAGGATACTGGACGGCAGAAAAAAAAGAGTACTGCAAAAGTAAAATAAGTGTGGCAAAGTAAAATGATTGCGGCAAAATAAGTAAATGATGCACTTAGTTATTTAGCGTACTATAATCAGTTCTAGGAAGGCCATTTCGTCAGTTAATAAAACAAATATTTTAAATCCATTTCTGGGTTGTTTTATCACTAACGGGAAAATATCTTGTCCTATTTGATGCACTTCATGTGTTTGTTATACAATTATAATGTTAATATCTGCTCCAACATTTAGCCTATCTCAACAGTTTATTAAAATGTTAACAAGATTCATAAAACAAGATTGATGTGGCAAAAACTACATAGGCCTACTATACAATTTACTTCAACCCAGTTAAGTTTTTACTTGTTTTATACAATTATTGTGGTGTTTCAAAAAATAAATTGTCATGAAATTTTCACTTTTAGCATCTCTTGTATATCATAAATCAGAACATTTTTATTTGAGTTAACAAACATATGTGTCTTGAGGTTTGATCAAACTTGTGACTACTGGAATCTCTCTTACATTTTCACGTTGTATGTTTTAATCTCAAATCAGAACGTTTTCATTTGCAGTACAGATATCTGTGACAAGTCTGAAGCCATCATCATGTGTCCGAGATGTGACCGGACTTGTGACTACTGGAAGCTCTCTGACACTTGTACGTTTGCCCGCGTCTCCTACCTCTTCGACAACCCCGTCACCGTCGTCTTTGCTGTCTTCATGTCGTTCTGGGGTGAGCTGATTATTTCAATGTTGCCATTAGATAACATCTTATTTTGAGGTTAATGATGTAACATAGATCTCAACCTTAAGACACATTTTTTACTACTAAATATTTTATTTAAAAACCAAAACGTTTTTCTGCAGCCACGTTGTTCCTGGAGCTGTGGAAGAGGTATTCAGCGTCCATGGCTCACCGCTGGGGCATGACAGGGTACACGGCTCAGTCGGAACATCCTAGACCGCAGTATCTGGCTCGGCTCTCCCGCATGACATACAAGAAGGTAGGGTGTTTCATTCAATAAAATGTTAAAATGTTCAAAATGTCATAGACATATTTTACATTTATAATTTACCTGAAAATATATTATTTATTTACGATCTTTTAGAGTTTACTCAAGGATTCCTCAATTATTGAGTATTCTCGAGTATTGATTATTCCTTTGTTTATGGGCATAACTATTTTACTACAGCGACTGATTATGAAAGCCTAACTATCAACTTATGCTAGGTCAGAGTCAACGTTGTGACAGGAGCCAAGGAGCCTTACGCTCCGTTCCTGAGGTGTCGTCTACCGGCCATATGTCTCAGCTTCTCAGTTGTGGTTTTGTTGGTGAGTGTTGCTTATTCCAGGATCCATTTTTACATTCCGTTGTTTTTTTTTTTACCAAGTTATTATTTTGTTTGAAGGAACATTAAATTTTAAGGTTTATATAACATGTGTCAGAAGATGTTGGGAGACACGTGTCAGTATATGTTGCAGGATATGTGTCAAAACAATGAAACAAGTTGCAAGAAATGTTTTGGAACATGTTGCGAGACATGTGTATTTAAAATTTTACTTTCAGTGTAGAAAAATTCCTTAAAATTTTATTAGTTTATTAGTTTTTTAAACAAAGCAGTGGAACTCTGTTATATCAATAACGGGCTTTGGTAGAAAACAATTCCACAAACCGGACCTTAAAAGGTTGACCCTGTAAAAAACAAAGGGGTTTTAAAGATTCTCTTTAGTTATGCATACGGATCGATAGAGTGCTTCACGATTGTGGGTGGAATTAAGATAAACAATTGAGTTGCCACCGAGATCTCTGGATTTTAGCCTTAAACACGTTCCTGTGTGGTGTTTTAAACAAAACGTTTCAATGTACTCGGAAAATAATTGATGACATGATTCAAAATGGTGTTGCTAGTTTCTACCATTGGTTGGGATAATTTGTCACGAAAAAGGGATAAACACTTGAACAACTGCTACTTTGAACACTTGATAATACTGCAGAAGCAAAATGTTTAATATAAGCTCTGTAAATTATTGTTAGTTTTGAGTTAAAATGATTAATTTTCATAACTTAAGAGATACTTAAAAACTCCGCCATTTTGGATTTGACTAATCTTTTGAGATCAATCTAAGGAATTGTATTGTAGTACTGTAAAGACCTATCATGCTATCATTCAATATGAAGTTTGCTCTGCAGTGCTGTTTCTCATTAATCAGTCATTCATTTGTCCAACATGTGGTTGACCTTAATTTTTACTAATGTTTTCTTCAGATATGCCTTGCGGTCGCTGCCGTGTTTGGCGTCGTGTTGTATCGAATGTCCATGTTAACGACACTTAGTCTTCTTGATGACAACTCCCTCGCTACAAAGTACTCCGTGATCATCATACCAGCTACGGCAGCCACCATCAACTTGGTGTGCATCATGATCTTCAACTATGTAAGTTGAAACTTGACTTTTAGCCTAGGAAACAATTAATTATAGCAGTGGCTTTCAACATTTTCAACAGCCTAGTGGTTGGAGCGTGAAATTTCAAATTTTGTTTTGTTGGCAAGTATAAAACAATGCAATGGACAAAATCAGTCATGCAGTGTAAAATCACAAGTTGAAAATTGGTTAAACTATGTCAGGAGGAACTTTTGTGAATAAAAACTGAGATAGCAAGTATCACCATGATATTAGTACTGAGTTAACATAGCTTACCTCAGAAAATTAGAGTCAGGAGATTAAAAATGGAAAGAAGATGTCTTTGCACATTATAGAACACTCATCCGAAATCAAACATCCACTCCTATAGACATTTGTACACAAAAAGGTGTTTGGCCTCACTAACAAACTGCTTCCACTTCTTCCTAATCTTTGCATTTAGTTCATAAACTTTCAAAATGCTCATGTTGTAGCATGTCTTACTTTTTCCACTTTGTTAAGTTTTTCGTTATGAGTCGGGAGGTATTCTTCTATCAGGGGTATCTTTCCATGTTTGTTTTATCATAGCTTTATATCCGTTCACAACTCTAGTCCTTGAATATAGATTTTGTTTGTAGCAAATCTGGTGCTTCGAACACAGAGACCCCTTGGTTCTTTAATATTCTTGATTCATTCTCCACTTTATTTTTTGGTCCAAAGATTGTCCTACAAAACTCTATTTTAAATTACGGACGAGAGACCAATGCCCACAAGAACTTTTCCCCCACCATTGCTACTTATGTTATTTTGTAGGTCATCCCAATGTCAATTGTCGTTGGATTATTTATCACCACTAGCGTTTAAAATGTAACTTTCAGCATTGTTGGTCTTCTGCCCTCACACCACCTTACACACCTTCTTAATTGGCACAATCTTTGCAAGTTTTTTCTCAGCACCATTTTGTAAATAAAATTCTTTAAAACTAATGAAACAGTGCTCAATATTTTCCAGATCTACGACATGCTCGCAGTCTACCTGACAGAGATGGAACTACTCCGCACTCAGTCAGAGTTCGATGACTCTCTCACCGTTAAGATCTACCTGTTCCAGTTCGTCAACTACTACACATCCATCATGTACATTGCTTTTCTCAAGGGGAAGTTTGTTGGCTACCCTGCCAAATACAATAGGATATTCGGATACCGACAGGAAGAGGTGGGTGATTCATAATAAAAAAATAAAAAAATGCCCGAGATAAGTTTGTTCTCTTCCCACATAGAACAAATAATTTTTAATTTTGAAATATCCTATTCTGTCCTTGTTATTCCTAGGTCAGGATGTCAACGGAAACTCTTCATCTTCTCAATCCCTCTGAATTTCATCATCCTCCACTAGTTTCCATCCTATTCTTCTCTTATCTACACTTATTTCCAACTAATTTATCCACCTTATTCTAGGTATTTTTTTCAGTTTCCTTACCTAAATCACCATCAACTCCATTTCCATAAGTATTCTATCTTCTTAATTCTCACTCATCCAAAACATCTGTTTTACTGTTTGTGCTCTCCCTCTTCAACTAAACCTCTTCTGGTGTTTTTATCCCTGTTCCCTGCTGCCTTGTTTGACTTTTTAAATCTTTCCTTCTTATTTGTTGTAACTTTAAAAACTTCACCCCTCTATTTTTGCAATCAACATGAAATTGGATGTGTTAAATACTTTTTGTTAACAGCCCATTAACTGCCATGAACGCTTTTCTTGGATAATTTAGCTTTGATCTTCTTAACAATGCATTCTATTTTATAGTCTGATCCATTCTATTTTATGAAAACTCCATTATTCTGTTCCTTTAAGTAACTTTTAGCCTACATTATACATAATGATGACATATCCCAAATAAAATATAAAGTTAATTTATTTGGGAGCATGTTCAGTACTTGTAGATACAAAAATCTACAATTTGTTAAATCATCCAATGTTTGCACCACAGTGTAACCCTGGTGGCTGTCTCATGGAACTGTGTATACAACTGGCCATCATCATGGTGGGACAGCAGGCGTTCAACAGTGTGCTGGAGATGGTGCTTCCGTAAGTATTACTTTTTTCCGTCTCACTCTCACATCCTAGGATGTTAGGTTCTAGCCCAGAACTGTTTTCACTTTACTTCAGGCTAGGCCTAGAGGGTTGCAGCATTATCTAGATAAAATCCATTGGTGTTTGGCAGGATTTGACCCTAGACCTCAGGGACCGAAGCCCCGCACTCTACCACTAGACCAGCTCGCTCCTCTAAACCAGATAATTGATATTAGATACTTTGGCTGATATTTAGCCTCGTTGCAGATGGCTCTCTTCAGGTAATGGAGAAGATTACCACCTTGAAGATGCTGCTTTGCTCTGAAACATAATTGTCGTAGATGGTCATCTTTAGAGCATGTTCTTATCTTCAGGGTAGCGTTCCATAACAGCTCTAAACAACGCAACCTGCTACGAGGTCAAAAAGTTAACCCAACTTAGCTATAAAGTAGAGGGTGGTCGTAAAGTCCTTTTACACAATATTGCAGTACGTAGTACACTGTTATAAACACAACAGATCAGCAAATATTTGTATGTGAATAGTAACGGAACAGTTTGGAGAGAATGAAGCCTCACTTTCCCTTCCCCAACCACCGCCTCGGACCCTAGGTGGTGCCCTAGGACACCAATTGATTTAATCTTTCATGTAAAGGGCCTTATCGGCCATCCTATAGAACTATACAAACTCCAACTATACAAATCGCCAATTATACAAATCATCTAGAATAAGAATTTTTAAAAACCTTAAAAGACTGTAATAAAAATTATTGTCAAAGAAGGCAGAAGCCGTGTTTGGGGCAAAAATCAAATACCCTCATGCGGTCGTTTCTTCAATGTCTCTTGTGGTCACAAAAAAATCTTAGTTTTTTTTTCATCGTGGCAAAATCTTCAACATCTTCCGCTGTCTTGAAGACATCATCATCGTGTCCTGTGTTCAAGGAAAATTATCAACTGTCCTCCGAAATTGGGGCAAAAGCGTGAATTTTTCACGAAATCTTTACAGACTCGTTCTGCTATAGGAATAGTAAAAGCTTGGCTCAACACCACATATTTTTTTGCAAAATACCCCGAATTTTGGTAAAAGTCCAATCAACCAAATGTGTTTGGTCCTAATTGATCCGGGTTATTGGATCTCTACTGTTCTATGATATAGTTTTAACCCAAAAACTCTGATAACATGTTTTACTTCCATGGTTTTACTTCAGTTATTGTGCTGTGTGCTCGTGTAATCTTCGGTGTCTGTGTAAAACCCTCTGCATGTAAAATGTTATGTTTTTAATGTTCCTATTCTTATCACCTCTAGCTAACAATGAATTTTGGATTTTGAAATCAATTCGAAGAGAAGTTGACAGTTTCAAAAGTAAATATAAATATTATTAATTATTACTACAATTGTGATTGACATTGTTGCTAATCTGAGTTAACCTCCACAGGTACCTCTACAAGTGGTACAACACGTTCATGTTGGCCACTGGGCTAGAGTCAGGTGACTCTGAGGACGACGTGGTGGACGCTAGCGCCAAGGGGAGACAATGGACGGAGGACTACAAACTGCTGGACTGGGGCGACCGAGGATTGTTCTACGAGTACTTGGAAATGGGTGAGTGCCTCCTATAAAAATGAGTGCCTCCAGTTTCAGCAGTTTTGGATATTCCTGTTTTGGTTGTTTACAAAAAAATTCAATTTGTCTATGGAGAATAGTCAGCCTCAAATTTTGCCGCCGAAATGAGCTTAGCGGCGGCCATACTACTCTATCTCTCTCCCTCTCTCTCTCTAAGCCAATTCTTTGTTTCACTCTCTCTCACTCATTCTGTTGACTTGGCCGCGCGCTCGCGATAGTGAGCCTTCGCTAACTAGTGGCTGCCGAGGGAAGTATCCGAAATTCAAATATTCCCAGACTGAATTTTTAACTTAGACATTTGGCTTCTTATAAGGTTTGTATTCATGGGCATGTAAGGAATTAAATTTCTTTCATTTTTATTGCATAATAAACGTATTACTATTACTTGCATTTTTTACCTTCAGGCAAGTAAAAAAGTTTCAAGTTTATGTTTAAAGATTAAAGGTTTAATTTTCTCAGTTTTGGTTTTGAGATTAAGAATTTCTGGTTTTGACCACCACTACCGTACTTTTTCATTCATATGTCTAATTTTTCATACATATTAAAATATTTAAAGAAAGTAACCCCTGTTACAAGAAAAATTTGCAACTCTATGTCAAATTTAATTATTACATTTAGTCCCGCAAAACATTCAATGTTTAATGCACAGCCAATAGTAGAACCCTAATTTAACTGTCGTTTTTCAGTGATGCAGTATGGGTTTGTGACAATCTTTGTGTCTGCGTTCCCTCTGGCGCCTGTGTTTGCTCTCATAAACAACGTGCTGGAGATGCGACTGGACGCTCGCAAATTCCTAATGTTCTACCGACGGCCGGTGCCACTGCGGGCCTCCAATATTGGAATATGGTTCCGCATACTGGACGTTCTGTCTAAACTAGCTGTCATATCTAATGTAAGTCACAGAGTGCTTTTATTGGTGGCTGCCTTTTATTTTGTATTAGTTTGGTTCGGACTTGGTTAATTGAGTCAGTTGAAGAAGACAGTAGTAGGCCTAGTATTTTTAATGAAAGCACTGTAAATCCATTTTACGTAGATTCTTTGACAAGTACACAGTTGTTAGTCCAAGGAGCCTATAAACCAGTCATGGTATGAATCAATTGAAACTGGCACTACTGATGTCAAATTTAAAACAATCGTTTGGAATTTGTTACAATGTTATTTTACTTGTTATCTGCTCTGGAATTAAATTCAATCATTGCTGTCACATATATTTTTTTCCTGGATAGTTTAGGTCGTCTGTATAGGGTCTGTCAGCCAATGTTCTTACTTTATTCCGTTATTGTGTGATTTAGACTGTAGTTGACTAATTTTGCTGTTTAATGTGGTTATTAAACTTATCCTTTTGTTTTTGTATAAAATGGATTTAGTTATTTTCTTGTGTTCAATTTATTTGTCTATAAGTTACACAATGAATGATTGGTCCATCATAACATTTAATATGTTTCATATGATTTTCAGGCGTTCATCATAGCATTTAATATGTTCCATATGATTTTGAGGCGTTCATCATAGCATTTAATATGTTCCATAGGCGTTCATCACAGCATTTAATATGTTCCATATAATTTTCAGACGTTCATCATAGTACTTAATATGTTCCATGTGTTTTTCAGGCATTCATCATAGCATTTTCGTCCAACTTCATCCCACGTCTGGTCTACATGATCAGCGTAAACCCTGACCACAATGACCAAGGGTTTCTCAACTTCTCCCTGGCGTACTTCAACACTTCCGACTTTCAACACAACGCCTCGCCTCTTAATCCATCGTTCAACGTTTCGATTTGTAGGTTAGTGTGTTAAGAGTAAATTTATTTATTTCAAAATACTTCTCATTAATCAAAAGACCCCTGTTTGGGATATGGTTGTAATTGGGAAAAAATTATTTTAAGGGATTTCTGAGGTCGAACGTTAGCTCGACCTCAGAGGGGTTAGCTCGACCCCTCAGTAAGGGGTTTCCTACAGCAGCAATCTCAGGGGATGAGCTGGTCGATGGGTAGAGCGCGGGCCTTGAAGTCCAGGGTTCAAATCCTACCAAATCACCAGTGAATTCGATCTAAATCATAGTACCGCAACCCCTTGGTCTAGCCTTAAGCAGGGGCGGCTCCAGAGGACAGGCCAGGTAGGCCCGGGCCTACCCAAAATTTAGATAGATTTTTCAAAATTATAAAGAAATGTAATTATATGTAATTAAAGAGAAAGCATTAAAACTAATAGTTTTGCATTTAAATTTTAAAATTCACCTTTTTGCAGGCAAAGCTCTTCAAACCTCCCGTCCCTGAGGGGAAACAAACTCTCTCTTGATCCTTATCAGGTCTACCCAAAAAAATATTCCTGGAGCTGCCCCTGGCCTGAAGTAATGAAAAATTATTACAAACTAGAACCTAGCGTCCTAGGACAGAAAAGAAATCTCAGAAAATAGTGACAACAATGCCGTGATCATGGGAGATAATTATCATAATGCAAGATCGTGGATTTCTGTGTGTACGTTACTGGCAATAATATTAAGAAATATTCTATAAAATGCTAAGTAACCTATGCATTGCCTTAACAGAGGTTTACTGAAAGAAAGGACCATGAGGTCCTAAGTTCTCCTCAGTAAAGTAGTATTTTTATTCCATTTCATTTGCCAAAAATGAGGGTAGTAATTCTATAGAATGCCTATTGGCACTAGGACAAAGTGGAAAATAGGAATTTTTATGGATTATAAAAACTGGACTAGGTTATGGATTTGGTTCCGCAAATGTTCAAGATTTGTGATCAAATTTCCTACAATTATGGTTCATTCCATCCACGAAAAACATGCACAGTTTTATGTGGTCGATATGGCCAGGCAAAACTACTCTAAGTTAATGAATTATCAAGTAAGAACAGGATGATTAAATACATGGGTCGATGTGGCAAGAGAAGGAATTAAAATTGCTTAGATCGAAGTAAGAATGTTACTGCTATCTGGAGAATCAGATATTTTTATCAAATACAAAAAAAACTTATTTAAATGCTGATAAAATTCTGTATTTTTATGACCAAAGATGAAGATTTACTTATAAATCTGGATACAATCTGAATGATTTTTCCAAAGCAGATGGAATTAGTTGTTAGTAATAAATATTGACTCTTTCCGTAACATGATAGACTAATTATATGAACTCATTCTCCCATATAGTGAAAGTGGCTTTGACATAAAAAAAATTAAAGCCGATTTAAAGTGAGATTTAAAGCCGATAAAAAGGTAGGAAATATTGTGTTAAACGAATTCAACAATCACGTTTTTAGGGAACACAATCGTCATACTTATTATTAATGCTTATCCTCCCTAATACCTCCCTTCATTTAACTAAGATTTTAATGACTTCACTCTATCTATCGCAGTTAGCTGAATTTACATAAAACCCCAAGATTAACCGTCGATTTCGACGGGGTTCCACTAGTATGATGTTAATTTAAAATTGTTTTGTTTAACATGGAAGCAGTACAAGGACTATTTTCTCCTCGTTTCTATGGTGATGAACTAACAATGCTGATGATTGTGCAGGTACCCAGAACTACGAGAACCGCCGTGGGCTGCACGTAAATACAAGCGGCCGGACATCTACTGGCGGATACTGGCTGCTAGGCTTGGCTTTGTCGTAGTTTTTCAGGTGATTATCACTTTACGAGTTGGGATTTGAATGTTCGTTATTTTAGAAATATTCCAAGGGTTCATGAATGATTAAGTCAAACAAATAGCAGTTATCAAAACACTTTTCTTAAGCAGAAATTACACTTTTACCTTATTCATACTGACAAATGTTCTATAATCCTACTTCAGAAAAAAATCACACAGCATCTTGCAAGACCAAGTATGCAAACTGGGTTTTACAATAGAGTAAACGAAAAACTAAGAAACCAAGCACAATGTTTAAAAAAAATCTCATAATGAAGATTTGAAGACATTGCGTTAATGTATTGTCAAATTTAAACTCATTAGTGTCCGGTTTTAACTTTGACAAATTTCATCCAGGTAAAACTAAATCGGGTGCCAAGTGTGTGAATAAACCTATGTCAATTGTATGTAAATCATTTTCCAAAAGAATTCTTATCCAAGTTACTTTCAAATATTAATCTTCTGTTAATTTTAACTGTTTGTTTCCTCGCAGAATCTTGTATCATTGGTGATGATTGCGGTGCAGTGGTGTATCCCGGACATGTCGCCCAAGCTACGAGATCAGATCAAGCGAGAAGCGTTCCTCACCAGCGAGATGATCATCAAACAAGAGACATTTAGGGCTCGAGCATTACGTCAGTATCTTAATATCTTACATTGCAGAAAATATTAGGCATGTTTACACTTGTGTCGCAGACTGTTGAGTTAGACATAGTGTGTACATAATTTTTCTTTTTCGGATTCAAACGGAAAAAACAAACCAAATCTATCAATCCAATCTGTGTTAACAAATCAGAACTTAACACTCTGATTGCAAAAGATAACAAGGTATAGTAATCTAGATCCAACAGAATTCTTATAGGCCTAAAAAAATCAAAATCAACTACAGTATTTATTTTAATTTTACTTATTAAGGCCAACATTCTGTTTTAAGTAAACTATTTCCATTTTTTAATCATACAATATTTGTTGAGCAAAATACAATTATCTTGTCTAATAAAAAAATCATCGCCCAAAAATTGCCTTAATGCAGCTTGATTACCTTTAATTACATATTTTTTATGAAAACTAAGTATTACAAAGTGGAAAATTATTTTGCAGGTGGGGAGAGCCCTGTAACAGTCTCTAATGATCTAAACCACTCGTCTTTACGACGAAGAAGAGACGCGAAGAACGGCACAGGGGAGCCTAGCAGCTCTATAGAGATGGACAACATAAACGCTGTAGTTTAACTCGTCAAAGTTCCTCCGTAACTCGTAACTGTGCCTTAACTCACTTGAGTGCATTATCCTATGTTCTGTGTAGCCGTGACACGCTTCATGGACGAAGCTACGTTAGTGGCTGCAGGAAAACCTTGAATAACAATCACCGCAAGGATTGTAACTATATTAAATCATTAGAGAGTTATTGTACAATATAGTATGGTACTAAATCTTCAAAATCTGTCAACAATTGGAGCTCAATCATGGTCGATTGTTAAATTCAAGGTCTTACTGTATCATTTGATAATGCTTTCAGTGTTCATTTAGGTGCTAAAATATGAAAAATATGTTCCATTTTTTGCTATTGATAAGCTCTAATTTACAAATATTTTCGAGCTTATTCACTTACCTTAGATTTTAAGTTATTTTTTACTGGTCTGCCTTGTGAATTTTATAATGTTGGTTATCTCCTTCCCAGTTGGGCGGTGAAGTGGCATAGAACAGGCAACAATTTGCAAAATAAAATTAGTCTATTTAACCCTTTGAGTGCCAACGTCCGGGGAACCGGACGTTTTTGAAACGAGCCAAAAGTGCCGACGTCCGGCCGACCGGATGTTTTTAGAACGAGCCAAAAGTGCCAACGTCCAGCTGACCGGACGTTTCGTAATGATCGAACAGTTGTCATAACAACCGAATGGATACTCGGATTCTTTTAACCCATATATTAACATTGAGTTGAAAGTTACTAGATGCGATACATCGATTTTCGTTGGTCGAAATATCGAAAATTCGATTTTTACGAAATTTTATCCTAAAAATCGCCAGATTGCGCTCGGCATTTTTAGCGCGACCTTCGGGAAAAATCATCGGCATTTTTTGAGCGTTACTTTTATTTCTCGCCTGGCACTCTAAGGGTTAAATAAGAAAATGACCTTTTCATCATACTGTCCGGAAAGTAGTAGTTTTTAGTTCTCTAAATCGTCTCTAAATTCATTGTTTTTGGGTAACTCCGAATACAGAACAGAAAAAAAATATGGAAATTTTGTTGGTTCGCTATCCTAAAAGTTTTATCAGTTTATTATGAAAACACTGCTAATCAAACGATATTCAAAGCTATGTTTGTAAACAACAAAAATGAAAACATCGATGACAAATTTGTATAACCTCAAATTATGTAATTTCATTTTGTAATGATCAGAAGATTATTTCCACAGTATGATAAAAATTGTTGTTCATCACAAGGAGCGAAAGTGTTTTTTTGGTACTTAATCGTATTTCCAGGCTCGACTGTGCCTTGCTTGTAGAACAGGGTTGCGTACTAAGAGCCACTTTTGCTCCTAGTTATGAAAACTTCTAATTCAGCTCGGAAAGATTTGTGTTTACCTTCCGAAAAGCCATAGTTTTTCCGCAGTCTCCAGGAAAGTAACACCATAATAGTGTTTACAAGCTAGTTACTGTAGAAGCATTAACCAATCTATCTACAGAATTGGCAGGGTGTTTGCAACATCAACAACCGTTACGTTACAAAGATAGATTCGTCACAAAAAAATAACGCGAAAAACAATAAAGCCAATATGCCCCGTCTGGAAAGGATTATCATAGAATAGGAAATTTTAACACACTTTGATCAGTCAATGCATTTAATTAACCTCAGAAGGACCAATGTAATTAAGTTGTAGAAATTGTTCATCCAAAACTTAGGGCTTCAGTGGGTATGATTAAACTTGTGTAGTTAGATTGTTGTCTGTTAAAAAGGATCTAAATTTCTTTAAGGTGTTAGATATGTTATTTATATTTAGAGTTTATTAATATATAATTCTTACCGAGATATTATTTTATAGAAGGGTTGATATTTTTATGTTTATACTTTTTTATTAAGTCAATGTTATTTCGTGCAATACTTTAGTTTATTACCATAGCTGTAAATAAATGTTGACACAATAGTAGTAAATATTGTTTTAAATGTAGCATTGACTACAAGTAGACGTTTCATCCTATTGAAAAAAAACATGTTTAATGTATGTTCCATGTTTGAGTTGATGTGGACTAATGTTTGTCTGCGTATCCGAGTGGTTACAGTGCTTGGCCTCTAATCTGAATGTCGCTGGTTCGATTCTAAGTGAGATTGATTCTGGGCCAAGACGATATTTGTTTCTATCTATCACTCATTGATGACAAAAGGTCGATGTTTGATTATTGCAAGACCGTGGGTGTAGACATAAAAATACTAATGTCGTTAACAAACACTAAATCAAAAATTTAAACCACAACTAATAACGTAGTTCGAAAATACTAAAAATAGATTGTTATAGTTGTTTGAACAAGTTTTAAAGTCGGTTAACTAACAAGAAATAAATAGTAAACATTATAACCCTCCATAACAACAGAAATATACATTAAAACTAAAACTGTCTTTAGCTAATCCAAAAATGACAAATCTATGAAGGAGGATTATTTAACCATTGGATGCTGAAGTAGACATCTATATGGACCAACTGCTGTCCATTGAATAAGAACATTATTAAATAATTAAAAAAAAATTGTTCTCCTAAGTTTTTCCACAATTTATTATTGTAAGACTAGATTACTTACGTCAATAGCTCATTGAATTTCATTTCATGTTTCAGTACATGTTTCGACACATTGTCATCTTCAGCTGAGTACTAGTGAAGTTTTTATTCACCGTATGGTTTCGTCAATGTTCAATTGAATAAACACGTAACACAAATACGACACGACACGGAACATATACATTTAAAACACGTAAAGCTTTAGACATGCAGGCCTGCTCGAACAAAACACACGGTCACGCCGCGGGTCGGGGACAGACTGACTATTTGTTTATCCAGGCTTATCGTTGTTTTGTTCGAGCAGGCCTGCATGTCTAAAGCTTTACGTGTTTTAAATGTATATGTTCCGTGTCGTGTCGTATTTGTGTTACGTGTTTATTCAATTGAACATTGACGAAACCATATGGTGAATAAAAACTTCACTAGTACTCAGCTGAAGATGACAATGGGTCGAAACATGTACTGAAACATGAAATGAAATTCAATGAGCTATTGACGTAAGTAATCTAGTCTTACAATAATATCTACAGCTCAGGGGCTTAACAATGAATTTAAATTACACAATTTATTGTTGTTGTGACACTAAAAGATACTACTGTTTTACAATGTCTTATTTTAGCTGGGTAAAATGTTTGTGTATATGAAAGAAATTCAGTAATTCAGCAGATTCTGTCAGTGACTCGATTAATTTTGTGTTGTGTGTCTTCTATGCCAATGCCGTTCTTATTCAACTAAATTAATTTAATTTCCAAAACTAGTTACAATATTAACATATCAATGGTATGACTAGTTCTATAAAAATAAACAATGGTTTAATCTATTATTTCACATTTTTGGTAAAACATGTACAAATAGATGTTCTCCTGATAGCAATTAAGCTTATTGTGTATTTAATTTTTGTTTATAATCTTTTATAATTGTTCGCTTAGCTAAAAACTTTTAAGCGGTTTTAGGGGAAGAAATCTATCCCTTCCACTTAATCCTACCTTGAAAATAATAGCTCAACAGCTGGTGTTTGCCAAAACGCCAATCAGCTGCACCATAAGCAAAAAAGTAGTGGAGTAGCTTCCCCTCAAACTGTCTAAATTTTTGTGAAATTTTGTGTGTGTCTGAATTTGCTTACTTGAGACAAAATATTCATCGTTATTAATATTTTTATTTATACAATTTTTCTCTCAAGAATATTATTTACAAGTCTAGATGTAGAATACCTTGCAAATACCATGTTATCTTACTTTGATTTATTATTATCTAGTCTGAAAATCTTATATTTTTTCCCAGATAAGTAACATTTGTATAATAGTTTTTACCATTACGTTTAAATTTCTTATGCTAAGATTGAGAGTTGTATATATTTTATCTCCAATAATTTTAAATATTTAACCCAAACTCTAGAAAAACCAAATGTTTTGTTCTTATTTTGTTATTATTCAAAGTTATAATCTTGTTTTGAGTTTTTTAAATTGTAACTAATATTTAATCCTATGAAACATGAATGTGCCTCGCTAAAATAAAATTTAACTCAACGAATATTCCTCTTGTATGGCATTTTAATCTTTAACAACTAGTTAGGTTGTATGTTTTATTCTGATCAATTTTACATAATATCACAACTCAATTATTAATAATTAATGATCAACACATTTCATTAAATAACATAGGTAGTTTAGTTTTCTTGTCTTATTCAATAATTTTAACCAATTATTTAGTTTATTTTATAATTTGAGATTTGATAATGTGCCTCTACCATTTTCCGTCAGCCATAAGTAAAGATTATTTTATACTACTGTATTTTTAATTTTTTTGTCATTTGTCTATTGGGTCTGATGATGATTGGAGTATTCAATCGAAATCGATCACCACTTTTATATGTATTTACCGTCTTTTGAGTAAACAGTATAAGTGTAAATATATTTACTACAAGTGTTATTTTATTTGAAGCATTTTTGTACTTTCAGGTACTATTTTTTGTATACATGTTTGTGATCCTTAGTTTAATAAATCATCAATGCAAGGAATTTCTAAAAAAATAAATTTGTAGTTAACCTAGATTGACCATGTTAACATGTTTAATTGGTAATTATAACCACTCTATAATGTTTAACTTGTGTTAATTATGAATTATAGGTTGTAATGTAACCAAAACACTTAACTGTTAATTCAATAAAAAAATTTAAACTTGCACCAGAACCCCTCAAATCCAAACCATTAAGGAATGGTTAGTTTTTATTTTTAACCAAGGTATTCAGCTGACCAGATTTCATGACCAGGACAAATACTGTGAATTAATTATACATGAGCCAATAGCCTATGGCTTAGCTCATTGAAAGCGTTCAGTTGGTTCTCTTTTAAGATCGTTGTGTAGTAAGAACAAGAACGCGGGAGACGATCATGGGATTGCGGTAGATTATTTATTGATTTCTGCAACAACGGTGTCTCTGCAATCACATAAATAGTCACACGGTGTTACTGTGGCCTCTTATAGTCATAAAGATACATTGTTTTCTTTTAATGCAGTTTTATTGCATTTTGTACCAATCCGAACAATTTTTTTACAGAGACAGGGTTATATGCAGATTAATGGGATTCTGGTGTGGATTTTAACAAGAGTATTAAATTGATGTAATTTAGCAGAAACTTTCATTTACTCCAGTTAGTAGTTGTAATCAAATAAGAATAACAAATTTGACATTACAAAGCTAAACTAAATTGTTTTAAGATATTTTTTATTGTTTGTTTATTTTTTGTTTTCAAATATATAAATATTTTATGTCATGTTTCCTAAAGCTTTTATAATAAATTCTTCTGATTTATTTGTCTAAAAAATAATCTTACCTCCCCGTTTTTAACTACATGTATCTATTAAGTTGCACCCACTTGTTTTCTTAGCAAACAGTTACAGTAGTCATTAGTAAACTTCATCTGTACTATTTTTGTTCACCCGTTAAATGTTACTTATGTGTTGTTTGCTCCCAATTTGTCAGCAGACAACAGTGAGGGTAGGTAGAAGGATTCAAATTGCATGATCAGAGGTAATTCATTAAGAATCCACCCACCCTCTCAACTTCCACTGATTCGTCCACCGTTTATTTTAGATGAGCCTCTCTCACCAATATTTACCACCCTCTCAACTTCCACTGATTCGTTCACCGTTTATTTTAGATGAGCCTCTCTCACCAATATTTACCACCCTCTCAACTTCCACTGATTCGTCCACTGTTTATTTTAGATGAGCCTCTCTCACCAATATTTACCACCCTCTTAACTTCCACTGATTCGTCCACCGTTTATTTTAGATGAGCCTCTCTCACCAATATTTACCACCCTCTCAACTTCCACTGATTCGTCACCGTTTATTTCAGATGAGCCTCTCTCACCTATCTCTATGACCCTCTCAACTTCCACTGATTCGTCCACCGTTTATTTGAGATGAGCCTCTCTCACCAATATTTACCACCCTCTCAACTTCCACTGATTCGTCCACCGTATATTTTAGATGAGGTCCAATCATTACCACAACAATAATAATGATTTGTTACCTCATAACACTTGTAATATTAATACTACATCCATGATGCCTACAAACAGTAAACAAAATCTCTATGTGAAAAAAGCAAATTTATTCGAAAATAAATAACAATTTACAAAAGGATCCTGAAAGTTATACAATTTAATCTTTTTACTGAACAAGCGTTCTCAATTGCCGAGCAAGGTCAAAACTTGCGAGGTCTATAGGTGTCTTTTTCTCTTTGTTCTCGACGTCGAGGCGAGCTCCTTTCTCGATCAGCAGCCTGGCTACTTCACCTCTGTCTTCCTCACAACTCAGATGTCTGTAACAATATAGAATAGAATCTTAACGATGTTGCCTGTAATATGATACAAATCAAGTTGCACACCATATTAATTATTAAATCCCTGAAACACATATTTTAAAATAGACTATATAAAGTTACGAGGGGGTTAAGGGTTGATGTTGGGTTAAAAGAGTTGAAAGTTTCCCATTACAGTAAACCAGGATTTAAATGTTCGCATTATTCTTATTCATATAACTCTTTCGTATCACAAGTTGTGGCATTTAAGCCACGATTTTGGCGATTACTGTCGATTGATTGACTGTTACGACAAAACCGTTTGTGTAGGAACCGACAACTGAACCCCTTAATTTAACCATTTAACCAGAGGTGACAATTTACCTCGAATCACAGTCCCAAAGAGCCAGCTTTGACGATTATTAATAATAATTTAATCATTTTAACTACAGAAATAGTATTGTCTTTGAATATATACAATAATTACTAATCAGTCAACTGGACACAACGTAAACTAAGAATTGAGCAAAATATTGATATTCAAAGGTAACACTGGAAATTAAAATAAGCATTTTTAACTACAGAATTTGAAAAGAACATCATGGAAATTTAGAGTAATTACATATCTACCACCGTACCTCTCATGGGGCCTTACCCCATACCCAGCTCCTAGCACACGTCCATGTTCTTCGTTCGACGGCAGCACCTTAAGACACTCCAACTCAAAATTTTGGTTATTTTTGTTACCCTAGCTATTTTTTGTAGAACGATGAGCTATCATCAGGGAGAGGTTCTTTGCCAGCCGATTTAATGAGTGGGGTTGTGTCTTAACAAAAGTTTATTATGATATTGTATTCTCTTTATTTATATCTAGAGAGATGAGAGCGTGCCCCTACAATAATAAGTCAAGAGTTTATGCTGTAACAATTAAATATTTAATCAACAAATTTATTAAATCTAACATTCAGTCTTATTAAATAATTATCACAGTGATCTTTCTCACTAACAATTCACAAACATTTAACAATTCATAAATATTTAACTTGAAATTGAAAAAAAAATATCTACTTTAAATTATATCACAAAATATTAATGACTCAACAATTCCCTAACTCGCAATAATGTAACCCCTGAGAAAGAAATTAAGTTTTGCTAATAAAAACCCTAATATGTAGTTTAATTTGCCAACTTTCAGCTCTTACCAACTCCAGCACAAAGCCGAGTGTAGTGTTTGCCGAATGTAGCTTTGAGGACTCTACTCTTCCAGCTAAAAAGCCGAGTTAACAAGAGAGAAGTCTTCCCTCTTTCAAAAATACCGCCCTGCCATGATACCGGAGTACGTACCGCGCAGAAAAAACTATATGACGTAATGTGATTGTTTTACTTCCTCTCACTCAATTCTCAAACCGGGCCGGGTGTCGATGTCTGTCAAATGTCATGTCCTGGAGGTTATGTTATTGATGATTGTAAATAATAGACATCCGTATAAGGTTATTCTTAATATGAATTTAAGTAATCTCACTGTAATTAAAACAAATCACAGCTATAGGATAATTTAAATAAAAGAATGATTAGTCGGAGTCTAATTTAATTACGGCCTTTGATGAAAGTAAAAGTTGTATCGGCAGACGTTAAAATATTGAAACGGTAAGTGTACGTATTGTAGGTTATCTCAACTTAGTCAATAATGAAATTTAACTTAAATCTGTTATTAATTAGAGAGGTATTTATTAGAATTTTAATTATTATTACCTTGAAATTGCAAAGCATCAAGAGGATCGGTGTTTATTGCAACTGTACAACAACCTAGGCTATTTGGAATAAAGTCTTTCATTGGTTATTGTTTGAGCCTATTAGAAAGCTTGATAGTAATCTAAATTTGGTTAATTGAGTAGGCCTATTATATTATTATTACGGCGGTAAATTTTGGTAACGTCGTAACCTAGACAGCTTAGATTGATGGTTAACTCTACTCACCTGACGTGCTCGCCGCGCTTGCGCGAGCACTATCGTGAGTTAAGAGTGCCTTCTTGGCGGGACATTTGAGTTAGGTGGATCAGGCTGTGGTGGTTAAGCTCCACAAAGTTTTTGACAAGTTAGGTCGACAAATTTAAGAGGATAATCTTACAATGATAATTTGTTGACAGCTAAAATATCTCTCCACTATGCATTATATTTTTGTGCAAGTATTTAGGGCAACTTGTCAATGTGCAGTTTCAAAAATATTTCTTCTTTTAGTAAAAAAAATACATAATCTCATCCTTTTGGGGTATTAAAAAAAAGTCAGCCTAACTTAATCCAAATTTTATTTTTAATGCACAGGCTTTTCACTCAATGTGAAAATCTAGTTCTAGTTTCCTTGATTCGTTCCGAGACTTAATAACTGAAAAATCCCAACTATTGGTTGAATACGCAATTAATTGTCTTAAACACACCAACTGCGGTGATAGAAACTGATATAGTTTGGTTTTTAAAATTTCTATAACTTAACACTTACAGGGGTGTGTTTCCCTCACGATCTCTTGCGTCAATTTCAATGTTGTTTCTCCCTAGCAACAATGTCACGACCTGAAGATGGCCGATGGAGCTTGCGCGATGGAGAGGTCGGGCGCCTCGCACGTCTTCGATGTTTACCTCAGCGCCTTCATCCAGAAGCAGCTTAACAATCTGCAAAAACTACTTGGTTAAAACCTCAAGAAAAATAACAAATAATTCATATTTGGAACAACAAAAATTTAAGGAAAGCGATATGTCCTATTCAGGAGACAGATTATTGTCATGTAACAAAAGTCTCAAGTCCAGAAATTCAGCAAAAAAATTTAAAAGTGATACCTATATAATCTATTTAAGATTTGTGAAAAATAATACTGTAGGCTATGTTATATTGCAGTGTGCATTGGGACAGTCATAATTTTGTGAAATAATTTTTCAGGAATGCCACACAAGTGAGGGACCAAGCGACAAACCTCGCGGAAGACTGTACATAATATTTTGGAGAGTGGAACTAAGATGGTTTGATATTAGGAAGAATCGATTTCTATATCTCACATGATTGTTTTTAAAACATATTTAGTATTCTTCAACTGGTTATCATCACACAATAGTAACCAGAATAGTAACCAATTCGAAGCTGTATTCTGACTAATACTCACTACCTGATGTTTCAAACAGCTGCAAAATATTTGTCTCATTGACAATCATGCTGGGTGTTTCTCACAATATATTTTGGGACCTTATTCACAAACTCGTTAGTTATAATTTGTCGATGTATATTTTATTGGACCTAAATATTTCTACTTTTAGTAGAGAAGAAAATTATTTTAACATTAAGTATTAAATAAATAGTTTGCTTACTCTCAGGGGTCCAAACAAACGTTGGAACAATTTGTTCTATTACTTGGTCCATTGTTCCCTCTAAACAAGGATTTTTTTTACCTAAGTAGGGCCTACTTAAAGGCCTAAATTATAAAATGAAAGAAAACAAAAATGCTAACCTAGGCGTTACGTTAAGTTAGGTTAGGAACTGTAGTCAGTTTAACATTTCAATATAACAACAAATGTAGGCCTATGTATAAAATCTTGTTTAAGTTTACTAAAAATTCGATAATTTTGGCACTTGAGAAGAATTTTTCATGATTTTCTGGGTGAATTTGACACTAGACAAAGTACAAAATTTTGTGATTTTCAGCGTTTTAGACCGTAATCCTCAGGGTGAAATGGGTGTTCCTCCCTTACGTGTCAGAAGGAAAAGAATTATCAAAACAGTACATAGCCTTAAGGGAGAAAATTTTTTTCAAAATTCATTTGGAGCCCCAAAAAACAAATACCAAAAATAATCCCAAAAATACCAAAAATAATGGTATTTGTTTGGCTAAACAAATACCAAATAAATAAGATAGGTCTAACATCATCTAGGTCTATCACGTTTGTGTTCTTACAGGGGATGGAGCAGAAGTAAATTTACTTAGAACTAAAACACATACATCTTTCCATCCCTTGGACGCAGCATACTGCAGTGGAGAATGTCCCTGGATGTTTCTAGAGTTTACGTTGGCTCCAGCGGAGACTAACAAACGCACAACATCGTAGCGGCCAGCCGATGACGCCAGGATCAGAGGAGTCATATGCATCTAAAACATGTTTTAATGAGACATTCATTTCCCTTACAATATCTTAAGAAGTTGTCATTAAGTACTACACGCTTCATATCAACTGCCACATCTTAGGTACAATGTTTGATTCTCAAAGGTAAAATTAAACTAACACTAAACACATGTTGACAGATAATTATGCCGATCTACAAAAAACAGACACACATTTACATTTTAAATACACACTTAAATACACAGACTCTTTGACCTTCCGTCGGGCGCATTCATTTTCAAACACCAAAGGGCACTCACGGAAGTTACCTTCAGGAGTACGAAAACTATACAATGATGAGTAAAATACCCCCGCCGCAGCAAACCTGCCGTCTAAGCGAATTTCCATTTGGCCGAATTGATTTTCAATTGATCTATTTAAATAACATTAGGTTTAACGAGTACCTAGGTTTGCTGCTACAAGGAAACTAATAAAGTAGTGTGTTTTTAGTAAAATATTGATAGCTTACTATAAAATAAATAAATTTACCAAGTTTGATCAAAATATATCCATAAACAAGCAAACTACAACATTTTACAATATTCTCCATAAGAATAACATGGGAATTTTAAATTTACCATTTTTTTAGTTTTCTCTGTAACCAATAACCGTACAAAAACACTTTGATATACTGAATTGTTTGTTTTTTTAAGCTCTTTAAGAAGGTTTAGAGAAAAATTAAGAAATTTTGTGTTTTGAGGGTAAAAAGTGAGAAAAACCAATTTTTACCCCATAAAACCCCCCATAAAACCCTGTTCCCATGGTCCGATCATGCTGGATCGCGAACTCATTCAAGTTTATCCCGCCTTACACCTTCAAACCAAATTTCATCAAAATCGGATAAAAATTACTCAAGTTATCGTGTTCACGGACACATATATATATATATATATATATATATATATATATATATATATACATATATAAAAATTTGAACGAATGGTGTTTTTGGCCTCTGGGGACATTAAAATGAAAAAGTAAATCGGTCCCGGGCCTAAGTCTTACCATGAGACCTACGGTAATAGCTACTTCCCTATAGGGAAATTCGCTAAAAACGCTTAATAGCAATAAAACTGTAAGAAAAACATTTTTTATGAGTTATTACACAATTACTCAAGTCCTATATAAAATATAAAATGTTATATTAAACAATACAAATACGTAAGTGTTGTGGATAAAAAAGACTTACTTTTTAATTTTTATACATATACAAGACTATAGTATAAAATTAGAAAAAAATTTCATTAGGTAGTGTATGACATAATAACACATATGGTCTTATGAAAAAAATCATTTTATAGGATAACTTATTTTGTCAAGGCTTTTAGAAAAAATGCACTAGTGGATAAATAAAGCACCTATAGACTGATGAAAAAATCATTTGTTAGAGACCTACTCATTTTGTCATAGTTCTTTTCCTTGAAAAAAAAGTTCACAAACAAACGGGGCAGTAGGCCTTTCCACTTAATGTTGTTCCCTGTCCTCCCTTTCAACACTAGCAAACAATCTCGCTATTCGTTCTGCTTCATTCGTTTAATAATATCGATAAATAAGGTCAAATACAAGGGCACACACGGAACTAGGTAGGCCTAGCCAGTGTTGGGAATGATATCCCGGAGGAAACTCGTTGCATCACAGGGCGCACACGGAAGCTACTTCCAGTAGAGACGCAAACCACACCACAAGGTCGACTGACAATTTGAAAAGGTGTAAGAGTAGCCGAAACCGATCCCGGGAAAGAGAAGCGTGAGTTACGGCAGGCGACAACCTTGCCAAACACAAACTATTGTTTTATAAAAAAAATTTTGTGACCCAGAGGTAACTTCCGTGATAAGCCCGATGGAAGGTTAAACAAGTCAAACCAATGGAATGACTTAGAGCTATAACAACTGTTATGATCCAGTCAACTTGGTCAGCAACGACAAATAAGTTTAACTTAAGGTATAAAATAGAATTTTGGACCCTAGCACATTCTGCGACTGGCTCACATAACTTATTATTTTTAAATACAAAATTGGCATCAGCTGGTCCATATAGATGGGATGTCTACTTCCAGTATCCAATAGTCAATTATATAACCTACGGTAAGCCTACTTACGTCATCTTGTGGATCCACTGAAGAACCTTGACTAAGTAAGTGTCTCACAATTTCACAATGACCCCCAAGTGCTGCCCAGTGAATCAGCAATCGTTCATTCTGTACAAAAAGTTGATCGGTAAAGTTTTGTTATTTTTATGAGGGCTAAAACAGATTGTTATGTCACTCAACAGATTTTGTTTTCGACATTGGTATTTTGGTGACTAACAATGTATCAACTGGTCACATATGTGCGCTTGTAGGAATTGTCTTCAGGGAGCAAACCATTACGTTATTTCAAGGATTAGTGGGAAAGAAAAGGTTCTTCCCCACAAACAAGTTAAGCACCGTGCGCGCTGAGTCGACTACGGCTCGTCCTTACTTATCTAGCTCCGGCGTAATACCCATGCAATGCACCGGCCTTCTCCGTTCGACACCGGCCAGAAACTCGTGTTCACCAGCCTAGTGTTGCTGTCAGTGTACACGGTCAGCTGTACATGATTATAACAATTTTATGATTTGTCGAAATGGTTGTACAAATGTTCATACGTCCGCACTACCTCTATCAACTTCTCATCAAAACACCAAGACATGGTTTGATTAGGAAACGTCAAACGAAACAAGATACAAGACGCCAGAGCAATCACCACGTGCGGACAATGTCTGCTGAAGGGAGGAATGAGTCATTTCCGATCCCCTCACTAATCCGGCGGGATGCCTCGGTTGCTCCTAGAACCGACCGACGCCGAAGCCGACTTGCTCCCTATTGGGCATGCCTAGCCAGACCGGTGTAGTGCGCGGCGTCTCATTTGATTACGAGTATTTTTACATTTTAAAATGACCGTAGTCGACTTAGTGCGCAACGTGCTTTAGCCTTGAAATAATGTGATTTTTTGCTGGCTATAGCATGGAGATTTGAAAAACATCTAAAACATAGGCTTCTCATTTTTCCCAACAATCTGTTTAATTTCCTACATATCATACAGCAGTGAATTTTTGTTTATTATTTCTTAGGAGGGGTCATTAATTAAAATTTAATAATTAGGTAGCGTTTGCCTAGCAACGCATAATAATTAAGTAGCGAATGTAGGCTTACAATAGATAAATCTCTTTATTAATAGTTAACAAAGAATATAGCCTAATTGTATATAGGCCAGTCTATAATAAATAGCGATAATAATAAATAACAATATTTGTTGACGGACTATTATTGTTATTTTTGAGGTGTTGCCTTCCGGATTACTCAACAAATACTAATCTAGAGGTTAAATACCTTGTTGCCAACGTAATCCTTGGTAGACTTAATTGCTACCGGTTTCGACACACTTATGGTGTCATTGTCAAGCCTAGACGTGGTTTTTTGCTCCTAGGAGGTCATCATAAAGTCTTCAAAAACACATAACGAGACGAACAAATAACAAAAACGAACACGAACACGAACCCGCAGCCACGCCGTGAGTTGTATGGCCATTCGTTAAAATGTGTGTTCGTGTTCGTTTTTGTTATTTGTTCGTCTCGTTATGTGTTTTTGAAGACTTTATGACGACCTCCTAGGAGCGAAAACCACGTCTAGGCTTGACAATGACACCATAAGTGTGTCGAAACCGGTAGCAATTAAGTCTACCAAGGATTACGTTGGCAACAAGGTATTTAACCTCTAGATTAGTATTATTGTTAACTTATTTATTATTAGGCCCTACTGCTAACTTATTTACTACAGACTGGACTACAATTTTATATTCTTTGTTAACTGCTTATAAATATTGATCTATTGTTAGTCTAAATTTGCTCAAGTTTAGTTAAGTTTGTTGTCATGTTATTCCTATTAATTAATTAGGCTAAGACAAAGTCACATTGTATATTTGGCTTAACTCTTGCTTTCTTTATTTATTTATAGTAATCTTGGAAATGAACTGTTTTATTGTAAAAATTGTAAATTGGTTTGTTTGGACCGTTGGTAGTGAACCAAATAAAAGAACTGTAACATTTTTACAGGAAATGCTGATTTTGACCTTATTTTCCATCATCGTTCTTTTATTTATTTATTTTACTCAGTATACCGCATTTTCCATTTTATGCGGATTTTCAATTTGTTGTTTATTCATTTTATTAACCCTAGCAGTGGCCAATGTTAGAAGTGGGGAATGGCCAACCCATTTTGGCGATTTTGCAGACCTTTTTTTGAAAATTCGTAAAAATTCAACCGTACAAGTAAACCTAGCCAACCTCATATTCATTTTGTTCGGAAAGAACAGGAGAATCTTGAAATAGTAATATCATAATGATTTAGACAGTGTATTTTATCGATAAAGTGAAAAAAATAAAAAAATTTGAATTTTTTTTTTTGAAATTTCAAAAGCGGCCTTGGTATTTTTTTTCTACGGATTTCTTTATGGGAAATTCATTATATACATTTTGTAGAAAATCTAATTCCCTACATAGAAATATATAACATGTTAGGAAAATATTTTTTTTTTTATAAGTTTTTGGGGCGAAATATAATGACAAACGGAGAACCGAAAAAATTGAGAACCGTACAGTGTTAGTTTATGTTGTAAAAAGTTCTATAATACATGTGTATACTAATAATGATATATACATGTTTGTAAAGCTAATGAAGTAAGGAATCAAAAAAAGTCATAAAGTTTATGGTAAAAATAATTTTTTACCTATAAACATACGTATATAAAATAATGTTTATATATTTTAGCGATTTCTCGAAAAACAAAATTCACAGTACTTAGTATACAACTTTTGTACCAAATTTTTTTACTTCAAACCAACATAATAATCTTGTAGTGTATTCAATTACCAACATAAAAATGTATAACATGTTAGAAATATTTTTTTTGTAGGTACGTAATAGGGACATAATAATACAATAACCGCAAAACCGCAAATAAGTGTAAACTATAGCCTACAGTGTTTGCTTGTGTTGTGAAACATTATGTAGGCTGATGATATGTAGCCTACATATTTGTAAAGCCAATGAAGTAAGGAATCCAAAAAAGTCATAAGTATGATGGTAAAAAGTTATTTTCACCTATGATTATGTAGGCCTATCAATTTGAGAACGTTTTGAATTTTTTGCGCATTTCGAGAAAATGGAGTGTACAGTATTTAGTAGCCTATATAATTTTTTACCAAATTTTTTACACCCAAACCAATATAAACATGTTGTAGTGTATTCATTTACCTTTATAAAAATGTATAACACCTTGGGTAAATCATTATAACCCCTCTGAATGTCAGAATCGTCATTTTTGGACATGATGCTAACAAAATAGCCTACAGTAGTAGGCCTATTTAGTATAGGCTATAACTTTTTTACAAAATTGTTTACCCCCGAACCATTATAAACATGTTGTAGTGTATTCATTTACCTTTATAAAAATGTATAACACCTTGGGTATATCATTATATAGGTACAACAATCTCTGAATGTCAGAATCGTCATTTTAGGACATGATGCTAACAAAATACAACCTTTTATGAACACTATTCCACACAATTCAGTAATATTTATGCATGAAGATAACTGTTATACACACACACAACACTTCACTTACACTAACACTACGAACTAATAACATATTTAGTAATAAATCGCGGATAAAACTATTACGGCAACAACACAAACAAACAATGGCAATACAAGACAGCTGACAGACTGTGGCAGTAATGACTCACTTCCGTCGTCTACATCACTGTCTACATGCGAGCATACAGAAATAACCCTGAGTGCAGGGCTGCCACTCTCTGAATCTAAATTTCTTCCTCTTCAAAATGATATACTATATGACTAGTAATAATAACTTTCACTGTATATAATTCGTATTTTCCATACTGTCACCAGACGACTGTTGGCCATTTGTTAGAAATTTCGAAAACAGCTGTTTTCATAAAATCGTACCGATTGTGCAATCAATATTTAGTTATAAATATCACTACCACAATGAAGATAAAATCAATGGCTATCCAGTGGTATCACCCGCAACATCCCAAGACGAAAATTACCCGAGCAGGGTAATGCCAAACAAGACGTGTTTTGCCAGTTCCCAAGTGTCGGCTGCAAAAGTCGTACCGCGCCAAAATTTCATTTGATTTCTAATCGTCGTGACATTGTTATATACCTGCTACAGGGTTTGTTTATGTAATCAAATGAAAGTTCAGAATGTGATCTTTCGAATGGTATATATATTATTCTAATCTGAGTTGATTGTAAGTGTTTTTTTTACCGTTAAAAAAATTTCGGCCCATACCGTAACCAGACGACTTTGGCCATTCTAAGCATCAACCTCATACCGTAACCAGACGACGGTTGGCCACTGCTAGGGTTAAAACTGCCACTACCGGTACACTATTATCATAATGGGACATAACGGTTACATGGTCAAAACCTTAGCTAAGCCACTCGGTTAAGTGAAGAGAAGTAAATGAATTCCTTCCTCAATTTTCATAATCCAGTCCCCAGATCCAGATTAAATATGTCCGAAATAGAGGTGTTTATTAATGTTAATTAATTTTAATCAAATAATACATAAGTTATAGCCTACATAAATTAACATTATTACCTTTCTAAGTGTGGGTTGTTAGGGTAATAGTTAGGCTACATTAAAATGGCATATAATCAATCAATAAATGTGAATTTTGCTTATTAACTTCGATTTTACAGTGTAAACATTGTTGGCTAGTGCAGATTCAATGTTCCTAATAAAACATTAAAATAAACTTCAAAAAATCGTAGTAAATTTAGTTTTTGTGGCAGCAGAAAAATTTGTGCACCATTATTTTCAGGTCAAAATCTAGTTTCTAATGATATATAACTTACTATAGAACGCTTGGTCACCCTCAAGTAAATAATTACCGAAAATCGCTTAGTCGGCAGGTTTGCTGCAGCGGAGGTATTTAATATCAAACCCGATAAATATCAATATAGGCTAGGCCTATTTCAATATTTATCGTTATTTATACAAATCGTAGGTAGCCTACTCTGCGGAAGTGTACCAAAACAATTCATTTTCAAGATGACTATAACATAAAGTAGGTTTATTATTTAATATGAAAGTTAAGTTAGGTTATCTTAGAGATGATTAATAAGAGAAGCTTTTAAGGTAAGGAATTGTGAATTATTTTTCAACTCAATATGGATTACCGATAAAATAATATGTAAATAAATGGACATAAGTAATTCAACTTACGGAATCTTTAATAGAAATAAGAGACTTGTCACTATTTAAAAATTGGATAACCTCATCCGCCCTTCCTTCATAAACATCGGCGAATAGCTTTGCTTTCTTTTTGTCATCCATGATAACTACTTGTATAAATACTTTGTCAATTCCTTCACAACTCAACTCCAAAAGCGGAGAAGTTAGTAGTTATTAGTTAACTGTAACAAACACTTTTTTATGGCGAAATATATATGACTTGCAATTTAACACTAAGACCTCAACAGAAACAGATAACACAATAAATAACAATAACAACAACACAAAATACAAGGAGAGCACAAGTTCACATGTACAGAAACCTTATACTGACGTCATAAATATCGAATGTATATATCGATTGTACCGGGTGGTTACGGGTTTTTCTTCGGAATGTAAGTATCGGTTGCACCGAATAAGTAAGGGTTTTTTTGTAACACTTTATTTGACGAATTGAATACTCTCGGTAGTTTATCCATTATAAATCAAATAGTAGAAATACAATAATATTCGTTACAGGCTGGGAATTCTTAGTATTCATAACGTCCTGTGAACTCAAGTTTTTATTTTATAAGTCAGGTAAATACGAAAACAATTGCAAACATCTTATGGATGTTCAATCCAAAGTATCAGTAATTATTTTATTCCCAGCCTGTAACGAATATTATTGTATTTCTACTATTTGATTTATAATGGATAAACTACCGAGAGTATTAAATTCGTCAAATAAAGTGTAAAAAAAACCCTTTACTTATTCGGTGCAACCGATACTTACATTCTGAAGAAAAACCCGTAACCACCCGGTACAATCGATATATACATTCGATATTTATGACGTCAGTATAAGGTTTCTGTACATGTGAACTTGTGCTCTCCAAAATACAAACACAAAAACAAACAAAAACAAACAAACAAACTACAAAAATCACAGACATGAGAAATGGTGCTACACAATCCCTAGTTAGCTGTTGATCATGAATATCCTCGCCCCAGTAAACCTGCATACTCAGTGAATTTAAATTTTATTTGACTGGATTTAACTTAAATATTTTCATAAGCATCACATAATTTATTCCACACTTTAATAACATTAGATTTATCGAGTACTTGACTTTGCTACGGGTAAGGTAAACGATTTTTGACCAAATGTAGTTTATAAAGTTTAAAAGTTTGTCATTAGTTAAATTTGGCTGACCTCTGTTATATTATTTTAAATTTCAGATATTGTCAGTCTGATAATGGCATGGCCAATGCACATTGGCACTTGTTATTTTAGCCAAATAAATTAGCTATCGAGGAATTGAACTAACCGTTGAAAATTATATAATCCACAAAGTGGATCGAATTTAAATAAACGGTATCAGCATTCTGACACATACTTTCCCCCATAAGTTTGTCAACAACCTTTATCATGTGTAAGCAGTGAGTATAAATATACGGAAATGGTATTCGTAAAATTTTGTTCATTTAAAGGACTAAAACATACTAAATTTTTATCAAAATCACTCGGGCCATTTTTGGGAAATGTTTTTCGTTATTTTATGGGGTTATTATGGGAAAATGACATAATTTACAATAACTTTTGAACCGTAATATTTACAGAAATGGGATTTGTACTATTTTGTTCAGAATTTTAAGGGCTACAACATTCTAAATTTTTATCAAAATCGTTCGGGCCTGGAGTGTGGTAACTGTTTATGAAGATTAGGCTAAGGCATCCGCATTCCTAAAATTCTATGGGAAGGGAGGGAAACAGGTCCGCGATGTAGGAAGAGGTGAAAGAAGTAGTAAGGTGAGCAGTGTGGAGTGTGGGAACTGGAAACCGTTTGTAGAAGTTTTAATGTATCTGCAATGCTGAAATACTATGAGAAATTGGGAAATGTTGTGTTTCGAGGGTCAAAAGTGAGAAAAAACAATTTTTACCTCATAAAACCCCCCGTAAAGCCCCGTTCCCATGGTCCGATCGTGCTGGTTCGCGAACTCATTCAAGTTTATCCCATGGCTGGTCTAGTTTATCGATACATTTTATATCAAACTTGGCAAATCTTTTTTTTATAAAACACACTTTATTATCATAACTGTTAGTAGCAGCATAGACTAACCAACACAAGTAGACTTCTCATCCCATTGTAAATTTTAAAGCTCGTTTTTCATATCTAGTTCATTCATGTACGCCACACTGGGCGCTAGTGTTGACGAAATTTTGTTTCTATTATTTTAGGGTTAATTTCTTGTTTGTGCTTTACTGTTTGGTTAAATAACTAGGGGACAATTTATTGTTTATGATTAGATCGTATTATTTGGTTAAACGAGATTTTAAATGACTGTATTAACGGGAAACAAATTGTAAACAAAACACGACCTCTACATAAACCGTACAGAACTAACCATAAAATTGTCTTTAGCTGTTCCATTAGGATGAGAAATCTGTTTTATCTATGGTAGCAGCGTATGTTTTATCTATGGTAGCAGTAAACCTACATACTGCCTTTAAGTGTCGATGCTAATGGCTATCGATGCTATGAGACACCCTATCTAGCCACGGCCACCTTGGGCGGCCGTGTGGATGAGTTGTATGGTGCTGCATGTTTAAACAATCTGCTGGTAAATAAATGAGTGTTTGGTTCTTAAAGAAAACAAGAAAAAGTGAACTAGTGTTAGATTAGATTAAAATGCTGTCTCTTTGGCTTCAGTTTTGTTTGTTTAATTGTGTGGTGCTGGTGAAATAACATCAATTTAACTTAGGCCTAGCTAGACTAATATTTATAATTTTAAAGTTTGTGTCAGAAGTTTGCGATGCCAGTTGAGGAGCCTAAACGGCTGCTGGATATAATTCCTTGTAGAATAGATTCTACCATGCTTTGATGAGGTTATTTATCACAATAGGCCAACATGCTATCACTAGAAGTTATCTTAACATAGGAATAGGCCTATTAGTTCTAATTAGCGTATTGTGAAATTTAGAAATGTATTTAGGCCTGCAAAGTAAAAAATGTTGGCTTGAAGCACAGATAAAGCAAAGATCAATTACGAATATGCCCACATAATAATACACTTACAGTACCTACAGTAAGTTAAGTCATAATGAATTTGCCCACTGATCTGAATGGTATTAATATACCAAATGAAAAACTTCTTGACTGGTTGGAATCAATTGAAAGTATTGATCGAAGATATGGATATTTGTATGACGTGAGTATTATTAGTTCCTGTAGGTTATGAATAACTTGGGTTAAAACACTTTAGTTTAGGGTATGTCCTAAATTGACTTGCATAATGCAAGTATAAGTATGTTGATCTGGCCTAATAAATGACTTATCGACTTTTTGACCTACATTTACTATTATACATTACGAGGTGTAAGCCCGTCCTACGTACGGGAATTCAGTAGTCAGTTAAAACCGTGTACAATTCAGATCAGCTAGTTTACACATATAAAGACAAAGTTTCTTGCAGTTTTAATGTGAAAAATCATCTTGTAAACACATGTTGTGTGACCAAATATGTTTTTATTCCATCATAGGCCTATACGATATGCATTTTAAATCCGATAATTTTACAATAAAACAGCAATTCTGCAATTTTTACGATGTAAAAGCGTTGAAGTGAGATTTGCAGCCGATTCGCACAGACGCACACTGATTATAAGTAGCCTACAGTAGAGAGAGTAATAGTCAATTGAGAAGTGTATAGACCTAGTCAACGATACCGCCTTCCATAGCATACCTGCCTCTTCCATAATTATTATCACCACAATACAACTACTATACACAATTTCCAGTAGGTCTGAATAGAAACGACCTAAAATAAAACGATAATATCCAATAAAATTCACAGTACAAATAATTTAACTTTGGTGTCCTAAAATCAAAACTAATCGTCACACCTATCCTTTAAATCAATTTCACTGCATTAATTGCTAAATAAATAAGTTTAAACAAAGAAAAGTAAAAACAATAACAGTTTGTTTTGAAACAGCTGTTTGGTTCAAATAACATTCATTTGAAGAAAAGAATTGGTCACATGTAGCAGGAATATAAAAAGTAAACACGCTAGTAAAGCTAATGACGTAATTGTCAATGTTTATTATCCATACCGTTATCAGTTCTATCCTTGATAATTACCCACCCTCATTGAATAAATGTACATCGTAATTTCCCATATTAGTTAATTTAAACTACAATATATTCATAGTTGATATAAAAGTGATATTTTCACGTTTGGGGGCGCTTATATAGGCACCCCCAAACGTAACCACAACTGAACACGATTTCATAAAAGGATGGTTTGTCTAATTGCAGCATCCTAGGTCAATGTTGACGATGTGTTCAATCTATGTCATCCATCTGTTTATCTTTGTATAAATCCGGCTGAGGTTGTGGTGGTAATTTAAAATCGTGATTCCTGATTATTCTTGATCTTATTTTTATGACATCAATATTTCCGGGCCTAATCCAAACAAAGATAAAGCAGACAAACATTAACTGTAAATAAAAAGCTACCATGAAAAATTAAAACATGTAAACATTGTTATTTTTCTAATCTTTCCTTGAAAAGTGGAGCAGTAAAATAATTTGCATTTATCCTTTTTTATTAAGACTCGTGTACAGAGCCTCGATTTATACTGTGGTTTGATTAATTTTGGTCTAAACTATTTTAAACTGTGGTCTAACTATCTCTACTAATCTTACTTATTTCCTATAATCAATGACAAAATAAGAGTAAATAAAATAACCTCATAGTTCCATAGTTTTTATTTAACCAGCTGTTAGTTAAAACAAATTATATTGCTCTAAAACAAATCGAAGATTACAAAGATTGCTTTAAAAAATAATTTGAACATCCTAGTATTTTACTATGTATATTTAATTAAACTGTCATCCTCTTACAGAAGAATTGGACGTATCAATGATTAGCATTACACATAGGATAAATAAGTCAACGCTAAGTATGTCTTTACATTTTTATCCAAATGCTGAATTTGTGACACAAAAGCTGAATGTTTACAGCTGTTATATTAAGCAAATTATTTTATGCCGAAAGCTAGTTTAGAATCTTAGCGTCGGCTGCTAGACTTTTTAAAAATTAAAACTTAATTTATAAAAAACTGGGACCCAAAACTAAAATTATGGCTTCGACATTCCCTAGTTCTCAAAATTATCTTTCTTTCAACACAAAAATCATGTAAATCCGTCGAGTGGTTGATTCAGAATCGTGAAATAAAAAAACACTGTTTCGTTTTAATATTATAGATACCAGCTGATTATAAAATGAAATTGTTCTAAACTAAACCTAACCTTAATCAAACTGCAGTATTTGAATAATTGTAGGACATAAACTAAAGCCCAGCTATAACTTACATGTTCTTAGGTTGTTCTCAAACATTATTTTAAACTTAAATAACATGTTCAAAGTGATCTCACCTCATATGGCAGTGGTAAATAAGTTGCTTGGTAAGCTCATTCCCAGCAAAGTTGTCACTCAGTTATGAGTAAGTTACGTAGGTAGGCCTCATGAATCAATCTAATTTCATCTAAGTTATTTAATGAAAAATTGTTTTACAGTTATTACAGTTCTAAAAAATAAAAGGAACGAGTTTGGGCCTAAATCAGAAATATGAATCTTTATTGTCTTTAAATATAATACACTTTTATATGTCTCTCTACATACTTGAAACCATAAAGTATGTGAATGAAATAAACCCCCCAAGAAACCAAGACCTGCACCACTACAACACCCGTCATGGCTCCAAATTTGCACTACCAGTTCACCGAACAACTCTTTGGGAGAAAAAACCTTCCTACACCGGCTGCAAGCTGAGGAACCATCTACCTGACTACCTGAGAGACCTGACTGGCAACAAGCTACACCAGGAGTTGAAGAAGTGGCTAATCGCAAGACCCTTCTACTCAATAAAGGAATTTTATGAAAATTAACATGTACAATTCACTATTGTATTGACACTATTGTAATTCTTGACGAATTAACAATAAAGAATATTGTATTATTGTATTGTACACAACATTTGTAATAGACAACTTCATAATATGATAAATATGATCGCTACAAATGATCAATACAAAGTTAAAAATACAATAGGCCTACTATTTGTCAATCAGAACATCAAAAGTGTACAGACTTAATAGAAAAATATTCTGAGAAGTCATGGAAGGGATCAAGGCTTAGCCAGTCATACAGTCTAAGTTTGAATAACTTAATTAAACAAATTTGCTTTCAGTGTGCAACCTATTAAACATTTTTAGACCAATAATCTCAACACTTTTTTACATTTGCCTAGCCTACTGTATGGTATATCTAACATGAACTGGTTTCTGAGTGTTACATTGGCTGAATGTCTGATCTGTGTACATATAAGCCTACATTTAATTATTTTTTATAATATATTGCAGGTTGTCTGCGTAACTGTACCCCTTGGAATTTTTAGAGCAAAACTGACTTTAACTAGGTACCTAACCAACACTACCTAGGCCTATGTTTTATTTGTCATATAAACTTTTTTTTTATTATTTTCAATTTCATTAACTTATATTCAATACAGTAATTTATTTGTCACCTCCAAGTTTCCTATGGAGGGTAGACTTCTGTATCTGTTGGCACAAACAACCAAATTAAAATATTGATTATTCGATTGTTACATTCGATATTTCGATCGATATCTTCATTCGGTTGTTTCTGCCAACAGATACGGTCTACATGGATCACCTGTTGTGAGCCAATGCTTCAAATTAAGCAGGTCTTTTCTTTTGAGTTGATATGAAAATGTAAGTAAAAAAAAATTTCAAACTTTAAGGCCTAGAGGGGTGACTACAAATTTCTTTTTATTTCTAGGTTGGAATTCAGGCAAAGAAAAAAGGGCTCAACAGTCAACAAATGACTGGGATGTATGTGCAACTAGCTAATCACAGTTTTGTAAAATTAACCAAACTGACAAATGATGAAATTGCATATCATTGGTAAGTAAGAAGATAGAGTACTTGAAATTGTATTTTTTACAGAAGTAGGCCTACTTTTTTATTGGATAACTGATGAAGTTCTCAAATGCAATGCCTAGGCAATATACAAGTTTTTTTTATGGTAGCCAATAAACAATCAACCAGTTAAGTTCCATTTGTTTAGATTTTCTTTTTAAGTATTTTGATGTTATTTCGTCACCAGCATGGCAACCCATAAGGTCCATGTTAATTTAAAAAAAATTATAAATTTATTTTTTGGACTTATTTTTTAGCAGCTATTTTAATTTATAAAGGGATTCTGCACATCTACAGGCAAATGTCTTTGTACTAGTACGCGTAGATTTTCCCTGCGGTGCATATAAGCTGAGAAAAAAGGTTTTAAAGAAACACGTTTGCCTATACAGTAGAGTCCCGCAAACTCGGCACTCGATAACCCGGCAGTCTGGATGACTCGGCCATCACCTGGCTCAGAAAATTAGTGATTTTTTGTGTCCGAGTTAAACATGGGTTCAAGTCAAATCATTCGCAACTCGTACCAAGGATTTGTTGTACTAGGCTATATCTGATGACGTGATACTGACTTGTAATATAAATATAAATAAATAAGGCAGCTAAAAGGAATAAAAATTGTATTGTTCTTATTTTTAACCATAGTTCCCGATAACCGGCATTTCACAAACTTGGTACCCTTCCAGTCCACATTATTCCGAGTTTGCGGGACTCTACTGTATTAATATATAGATATGCAAGTATGACCGTATAAATCTGTCAATAACTGTTATTTTTTAAGTGTAGCCTAATTGAAGAATCTGTTTAAGTTGACTATACCTTCAATGTTTATTTTGCAGCAGTAAAGATGTACCTGCTAGCTCTGGATCTGAAGAGGAAGATGTTGACGAGGATAGTATCGCAGTATCTGATGATGGAAGCTCTGATACTGATTGTGAGACAGAACGAACTCTGGAGAGTATCACAAGTAAACTGTCACATGAGTTGAGTGAAGCCATAGAGAAGTCATCCAAGAAAAGATCAGAGGCTTCAGAAGAAACTCAAATAAGCTGTAAACTTTCCCGCTCTGAAGTGAGTAAAAATGCAGACTCATGTAAGAGTTCAACACCTGGATCAAGTGAACGATCCGATAATGATGCAGGTAGAAAAAACACTATCGTTAGAAAAGAAACTAAATGTCAATCACACAATTCAACTAATATAAGAGAAAAATTAAAAACTGCAACTGTAAGTGATAAACAATTGAATATTGAGAAACCTAAAATTTCACCTTCAAAAACTGCCAAAACAACAGAAACACCAAGAAAGGATTCAAGCAATAAATATAGTGAAGATAAAAAGAAATCAAATAGAAATAATGTTAAAACTCCAAACGGTGCCATAAAATCAAGCCATACTCTTGTAGCGGATAAAGCTGCTAGTAAGATGTGTAGAAGTGAAACTGTGGATAAACAGTTGGAGATTAGATCTTCTGTAGCAAATAGTATACAAGCTTCATCATCCAGTTGTGAAAAATCAAAAGAAGTTAGTAACAAGAAAATGTTGTCAAATAACAGTGAATTGAACCCTTTAGTTTTAAATACAACACTGCCTTGTACAAGAGAAGAAATAACAAGTATGAAAATTTTAAAAGATAAACTATCTAAAAAATTATCTATTACAGACAATAATCTCCCTTCTACATCTAGTACTAGCTCTATACTTCAGCCCGACCTCCATGGAAATAATCCTACATCTAACACGCCTGTAGCCAAAGTAACTAAAGAGACTAATCGTAAAGAGAAAATAAGTGTAAGAACTAACTTGTTTGAAACAAGTGAAAATGACAGTCCTAAGGAAAAACGTTCGCCTGGAGCAAATAGGCCTAACCACTGTAAAGAAGAGAAGAAAAAGAAAAAAGAAACTTCGCAAAAGGTGGCAGTAACTAATAGTCTTAATCATTCCGTGCAAGAAATGAATGCTCGGCTAAGTAATATCAAAAATATAATAATTGAAAAGAAACGTCCCTCTCCAGATAAGGGGACGGATAGAGATAGTGTTAAAAGGAGAAGAATTTCAGATAATATTCCACAGCAAAGTTCTGAGATAGCAAACGACAGTCATAACACTTTGTCCAATTTGCTTGATGAAGCTTTGCGTAAAAATAAGGAACAACATTCAATTAATACTAGCTCTAGAACAAATGATTCTCAGTTAGAAGTTAATACTAGCAGTTCTACTAAGCGACCTTCAGTTGTTTGTATCCAGCCTTCAGTTGTTTGTACGCTACCTTCAGTAATTTGTACTCAATCTGCAGTTGTTTGTTCGCAACCTTCAGTCATTTCTACTCAATCAGCAGTGGTTTGTACGCAACCTTCAGTAATAGTTTCTGATGTGAATATGTCTTCCCCAGCAGTTGAAACAGCTGCTTGTACAAGTAATTCTGCAAACATGAGGCAGACGACTTATGGAGACTCAATTGAAAATCTGTTTTTGAGGCACCTGACAAGTGGTATTGGAGGAAATGCCTCGTCAGAAAATGTAGAAAAAAGTAGAACTGATATTAATGCTTCATCAATTACTGCTTCGCATCCCTCGTCTAGCTCAGAGATTGTCATGAACAAAGATAGTACTAACTTGTCACAACTGAGTTATAACAACCAGGGATCAGACAGGCCTAATTGTAGCGCTGCGAACCAACATTTAGCTCAAGCAACCATTACTTATGGAACATCATCTCAAGAACACCGATTCATTGATGAGGCTGTACAAGGTTTTATTTTCTTTTTCCCTCCGAGCAGGCAAAATAATAGTATTATCTTGAGTGCTCCTAAACAAGTTTTAATCAGTTTAAAAGATTATTATACCAATAATCAAATACCATGGGGCAAATCAATTTTAGAATTATTGAGATTGTATATGGGTCTTTACATAAAGGTTTTCAGCAGTGAAGATGTTAGCAATAATGTTTGTAAAACTGCAGAACTTTTACACCTGTCTATTGCTGATTGTAACCGAAAATCTGAACGATTAGAGAAGGCTCACAGGCTGCAGTCAGAAACCCTTAAGAAAGAGGAAATCGAAGGTGCCGATAAAGATTATCAAGAAATTCTCTGTTGTAGAGGAAATCAGTTTTCCGAACTCTTTACACATGTTACATCCATATTCAAACAATTTAGAGGCTGTGAGTTTGTGATGATTGTAACTTTTTATTTTAAGATCATGCAGGCATTGGCAAAGATAGATAAAGAGAACCAAAAACACTTTGTCGAACTCAGAGACTTGATGAAAACCCTACTCATTAGTGGCGGCAATCGGTGTGCCTTAGAGGATCTAGAACAATTTTTTTATGCTTCTCCTAAAGACTTGGAAGAAAGTTGCCGTTTTGTGAAGCAGTGTTTACTGACCTTGTATTTGTCAGGATATAGTGACGCAGAAACTGATACGTTTTGGGAGCTAGACAAGTGTGAGCCAATCATTCCCAATCTTGTTAACATAATATATGCATTCAAAGAAAAGGCTCACATTTCAAAAGCTGGAAATCGTGTTCCTAATGCCAACCAAAGCTCTTGCCAAACTGATTCAAACCAACAAGCAGTTCCTCAAAATCGAGTTAACCCGATGCCTCAAACACAGATGAACAACTATCGTTCAGTAAACCCAGCAAATATCAGAGCCCCCCAGAACCCTTCACCAGTTCAACAGCCTCAGCGAGTCTACAACCAAAGTGTGATGGAGCCATCAACCACTGCTGAGCATCAACATCTTCCATCTTTTGCTACATTCAACCATCTTCAACATTCAGCACGAGTACTTCAAACAAATTCGCCTGCCACCTCTGGCATACAGGTCAGTTGTATAGTATGGTCATACTAAACACAATACTCGTATGTTGTAGTTACTATCGTCTATACACATTTACTTTAAGAAGTACCTTCTATATATACATACATATAAGCTTACCAAATGCACTTTAAGGATGGCCACACACTGCAACATTCAAGGCGAAGCAAGGTGTTGCAAAGCTAACATACTGCAGAAGACAAGACAGTCAAGGCACCAAAGTTTTGTCCCAATCTGTATTAATATAAAGCTTGTGCGATTTTGCAAAGTAAACACGTGACCAGGTGGTTACGTTGTAGCAGTCAAATTTATTAATTACTTCTAGATGTCACCTTCAACATTAGACTATGCCTTTGAAGAGAAATAGTAACAAAGTAATTCAGGATTTTTGTTAGAATAGTAGGCTTTCGACCAAGGAAGTTTTATGTTTTATAAGTGATAGTCCAGGTTCTAATGCTGTATGTGGTAGTGGAGTATTTTAACTAATGTGTTAATTGTAAAAGTATTGTGTGTTTCTTATGCCAGGATTTTCTCTTTCCCATTCAGGTTAGCCTGCTATCCTAACAAAAACCCTCAGCAACTAAGCCGTTGTGCTCTATTGCTATGTTATATTCTAAACCAGAAATAAAGTGCCAGAACTATATTACAGCACCGCCCATGTAACAATGAGCCTAGCATAGATCAACTAGATATTTTTACACAAATTTTTATTGTGATTTGGGATTCAAAAAAAGAAGATAAAACAATGTGTGCACATTATATTTTTTGCAAACTTGTCATATTTTATTTATTTCAACATTTGTACTTTCAGGCTCAACAAATGTATCGAAGAGCTGATCCGAGACTTCAAACTCAACCTAGTACCTCATCTTCGGCTCCTGGTCGACCTCCTGCCACTAATCAGACAGCTAATCCGAGACTTCAAACTCAACCTAGCATCTCATCTTCCGCTCCTGGTCGACCTGCCACTCAGCAGACAGCTAATCCGAGACTTCAAACTCAACCTAGCATCTCATCTTCCGCTCCTGGTCGACCTACTGCCACTCATCAGAATATGAGAATGGCCTCGAACCAGCAGCAGGTCAGGGTCGCCTCAAATCAACAACAGGTCAGAGTGGCGTCGAACCAATACTTGTTCCCTCCTCCGAAATACCCAGGCAATGCCGCATCCCAATGGTCCCCCAGGGGAGGTGGAACCACTACCAACCCCCAGACGCAAATTAATCACCAAATATCCTCACAAAATCAGGTTAGTGTAGACTTGTGTATTTTATGCATCAATTTCTTACATTACTCCATTTTTTCCTTTTTTCTTGGTTTCTTTTTTTGTAGTACTAAATTATGTTATTCAAGGTTTTATTGTGTTTCTTTTTTTAGCTCAGTCTTGCTTGTGCCATCTTCCTTGGTAGATATTGTGTTTGCCATTATTTTAACTATTTTTCTTTCTTGAAAAAGATTTTTTTCCTACAGTTACCTAACAATGTACATGTTCTCTCACTGATTTGAGAAAGCAAAGTGGCCAATTCGCTCATCAGTGAGACAATGTTAACATTGTCTCACTCTAATTACTTTGTCTCACTCCAAATTTGCAACGTGAAGGCACGAAATAGTGAGCGCGTAACATGCAGGCAACGTCGTATGCGCGCGAAATACGTTGGCAGCACTGGCTCTAAATCAGCTGGTCAGCTGTTGTACTGTTGTATTTGTACTTCACGTTAAATGTTATATTAAAAGTTCACTTCTGTGTAAAAATAGGTTATGTTTCTTCACCAATTTATTTGTTTTATGGTAACTGTAGGAAAAGTATAATGTGCAACTCGAGTTCAAAGTACAATTGCCTCACTCGAGAAACCATTCCTCACTCGCCTACGGCTCGTGAGTAAGGATTTCTCTCGAGTGAGTCAATTGCTCACTTTTCTCACTAGTTGCACAAATAACTATTGATTCTTTTTTTGACAAAAATACAGCTCTCTGCTGGGTTTATGTGTTGCGATTTCCACCTTTGGTTTGGTTTGCACTAATCTGGTTATGTTTTAAATACCTTTTCACCATATCCCCAAAAATGTTTTGAGTGGTACTACTTTGGCATGTGCCATACCATTGTCTTGTAGGTACCACTGGTACGTCTATGGTGTAAATATAAATCTGCTGAAAAAGCTAGCATATGTATAAGAGGGAGTCTACTGTATTTAGTAATGGTGATGGAAAATGTACACAATAATCCTTACTCCTTAATCACAGTGCCATGTTTACCACTATGAGAGCAAGAGGGGGCCGTAGCATTTTGTACAAAAACAATTATTTAAGAACATGAATTTTGTAAAATTCTTAAAGATTGCGGCCGACAATGACGATGTCCCGTCCCCCGTGATCACGTGAGCTCATGAGTTCATGGTGATTGCGGATGGAAATGATGATGTTTACGTGATCACAGGAAATGTTTACCATTTTGCAGGGATCGAGAGTGGTGATGTTTTGAAGTGATAGCAGGAGATTTAACGATTTATCTCTGATCTTGAGGAAGTTCCACCTAAGGGACTTATATATATATATAATTTGAAGCAAGCAGAAAACACCTTAAACTGTACATGTTCTTATATTGAATGCACCTGCAGCTAATGTTATATTTAGAACTAAATAAATGTGATATTTTTGATAATTGTTTTGATTTGGAACTAAGAAAATAAAGATAACACAATTCACGTACATTATAGTTTTGCAAGACTCTGTGTCTAAGGATTTTAAAATTTTATTTCAACATTTGTTCTTTCAGGCTCCACAAAATATTTATCGGAGAGCTGACCCGAGACTTCAAACTCAGCCCAGTTTCTCATCTTCGGCTTCGGGTCAAACTCCTTCCTTTCATCAGGACCTGAATCACAACCTTGTCATGATGGGCTTCAACCAACAACTCTCGAGTGTTGTCTCAAATCAACAACAGACGAGAGTTGTTCCGAATCAACAACAGACGAGAGTTGTTCCACATCAACAACAGACGAGAATTGTTCCGAATCAACAACAGACGAGAGTTGTTCCGAATCAACAACAGACGAGAGTTGTTCCGAATCAACAACAGACGAGAGTTGTTCCACATCAACAACAGACGAGAGTTGTTCAAAATCAACAACATGTCAGGGTTGCATCAAACCAATACCTGTTCCCTCCGCCATACACTGGTAATGCTGCCCCAGCCAACCAGATTCCCCTGAGGGTAGGTGGAACCACTACCAACCCCCAGCCGCAAATGAATCGCCAAATATACGTACAAAATCAGGTTAGTTTAGACTTGTGTATTTTATGCATCAATTAACTCTTTTTCTTCCTAAGTTCCTTTTTATTTGTAATACCAAATTATGTCATAGTAGTTTTTTTTACAAAACATAAATATTTGTTACCAGTAGTTTAGTCCTTAATCCGTGTGAATGCATAATCCTTCTGAATACTGTATTGAGGACGTGTTAAAACTTTTGTTGCTTGGTGTTATAAATCGTAGCTGGGCTTGTATTTGTTAATAATGTTATGTTTAATGTATTTGATTCTCCTTGTTTGCCTCTATCCTTCTTTCGGTAGTTTGCTATTTTTATTTTTTATATTTTTATTGAACTTGCTTCTATATGTTTCTAACAATCCAAAGCTAAAACTGAAAGATAGTTTTATACTTTCAATAATTTGAATAGAACATCCGGTTAACCAAGTTTCTTTTTATATTTACAAATCAAGTTTAAATACTGGTACAGAACAAAATTTCTTACTTAATTACAAAGTATTCTAAGATAAGAACGTTTTTAATATCTTGTTATTGTAGTGGTGCCAAATAATATGTCTCATGAAAAATGTATAACCTTCTATTTAAGTAACTAGGTAAAAACTGAAATGTAAACAACAAACAATAATCATAACATGTGTAGCAAATTAAATGAAAATCTAGGAAAGCATAGCAGCAACTGCTGCTTTATGGATATGTATACAAATGTAAAAGAAATGCACACTTTTTTACACATGTAGTCGCGTTTTTCCCCCAACACGATACATTTCAACATTACCATTCTAACCTAAAACAGAACCCTAAAATCAATAAACATACAAATACGCAGTGTTTACATCAGCTGGTATCTTTAAAGCAGCTTATAGAAACACTGTAGCATTAGAAAATGACCGGATATTTGGCGGCCTGTTTTTGACACTACTGATATTTTTCCCACATCGTTTACGTCGTTTACGTTCCCACGTCGTTGGACATTAAGCTTTAAAATGAATCCTCAACAGCCATGCTTCCTTTTTCCTAGCTCGGGATATTTCATGGGGACTGATTCGCATATGGAATTAAATACATATATGTTAAACCAGCTGTCACTACACACTTCCCTTCTCTAAATTGTTTTAAATTTATTTTCCCTGTTCAAGTGTTTGGGAGCTATTGCTGATGGGAACTAAAAAGACTATTCCTTCTATACAATTTCCCACCGATGTTGACCATATAATCTCTAGTGTTTGAATTTTACCGGATCCCACAGCTGCTACCATGTAACGGGACAAAATAATATGACAAGAAAAATGTACAATCTTTTATTTAAGTAACTAGGTAAAAACTGAAACATAAACATCAAGACAATAATCATAACGTGTGTGTAGCAAATTATATGAAAAATATTAAACCAGCTGTCACTACAGTTATAACGTTTGGTAACATAGAAAAATACACACTTGTTGTTCACATGAATTTTGCTGAACCTACACATCATGTTTATATACAATTTTCTCAAAAATTTTACACTTAAGTTTATTCTAAAGAAAAAAAATTAAAAAGTTTGATAATAAGTCTAATATTCTAATGGCAGTAAATAGTTACAAAGGGAAACATAAGCTCTCAGAGAAGTTATGATTAGTGATTATTATGTCCTTAAATCAATAGGAACATAATAACCGATTTTGACAGTTTTTCTATTGTTAGAATAGTTTAGGGTAGTAATGGCAAAAAGTATCACGTTATAAGACGATAGTGGGCGGAGTGTTATAAGACGTTTCTTTTATTTACTTTCCGCAAAAAATATTGTACGTCACTCGTCCAAAATTTGTTTACCAGACTCATATGATAATCCTGCACTTGACTTCATCTCACACGGTAACAACCACACTTATTTTCCGTAATACACTAAATATAACGTAATATACTATTAAATTTTTGGTTTGTTCTTTAATTTGTTGGATCGCTAAAAACATTTTAAAAATTTCCCAACATTTACATAGTTAAAAAACAAATATTTTATTTTAAATGTTGTTACTGTATTATTTTATGTTTTTACAGTAGTTTTAATTATTTCTCCTGTTACCTAGACCGAAGCTGATTTTATCCGGTTAATCATGACACTTTGAATAAGTTTTACGCTGGAATATTAAAAGTTTTTTCTGTTTACATTTCTTAGTTAGTTGTCACAATCAACTCGTTTTTAAGCTTTTGTATTGCAATAGAGTATACATTTTGTTTATTTTTATTTTTCTACCTGTTTCTTCATAAACTATCTTTTAATTTGTTTTTTTATTAATTTTTCAGGAGGAGTGACTTTTATGAATGAACTTTTGGATTTGCTTTTGTGTGAAAAACTTTTTAATCTTATTTGTTAGACTTGAACAACTAACCATACTGCTATTAAAATTAACTTTTATAAAGGGAAAAGTGCTTTTGGACAACTGTAAACATATAATTCCCAATAATGGAACAGTGAATACCAGTGTTTTTTGTTTTTTTTTTTGCAAATAGGTTAGTACTCTGTAAATAAAGTGAAAACTTAATCTTCTTCCTTACTCTGTCATGTGTTTAATTGATAGACGTCAACTTGAAGTGAACTTGCAAAGGAGTAAAGCTTGTTTTAAAAATTATCCGTACAATTGATACTTCAATCGCCAAAAGACTAGAGAGATATTATTGCATGGCTTGAGGTAAGTGAAATGCATGATATTTTAATTAAAGAAAACACAATTATGACAAAAAATGGTTCAATTAAGTGATACATAACAAGAATATTTTTTAGTGCTGTCTGTTTTATCATACCTTTATTACTGAATCTTAACATTGGGACTACTGTCAATTACTTACTAGAGTAGAACTCCAATAATTGTCCAAACTCCAACTATCCGAATCGCCGATTATCAACAACAGTTTTGAAATTATTTCTACAGTAATAAGAATTGTTTTTTTAGAAGGCAGAAGCCGTGTTGTGTCAAAATTCAAAACCCGTCTTGCGATTGTGTTGTCACCAGCATAGTCTCCCGCGGTTAACATCTTCATTGTTTTTTGCAATTGTAGCAAAATGATAAATATATTCCAAAGTCGTGTGGACTCCATCATCGTCTCCTGCGGTTATGGAAATATTGTTATCGTTTTTTGCAATCGTAGCAAAATGATAAATATATCCCAAAGTTGTGTGGACACCATTATTGTCTCCTGCAGTAACATTTATATCGTTTTTCGCTATCGCCGCAAAATGTTAAATATATCCCACGGTCTTGTTGACGCCATCATCGTCCCTTGTGGTCACGGAAAATGATAATCGTATTCCGCAGGCGAAAGCGTAGATTTTCCAATCATAAAAAAGTTGAGACGCGTTCTGCGATTGTAATAGTAAAAGCTTGGCATGACTCGGTCTTTTTTTTTTTTAAAGCCACTGAATTTCAATAAAAATCCAATTATACAAATTTTAGATTATCCAAATGGGGTCCTTTCCCAATTGATTTGGATGATTGGAGTTCTACTGTACAGTCAATTAACATGGGGAGGGCTGGTATTACTTATCAAAATATGGAAAATATGGTTTTTGTTGGATTAGGAGGTTAAACTCCTGGGTAGGCTACCGGGAATTGCCGAACTGCTTCTTATACCTTGCCAAAAACCATATATCACATTCATTACTTCTCTTTTTGTCACAATAGTCATTCATCGAACTTCAGTTTAGAAAAACTGCACTTTATTAGAAGATAGTTTATGTTTTTATGGCTCAAGCAATATTCTTCAAACAGCAATCCAACAAGTCAAAACTTCATTGCAGTAAACAAATGTAGAAATATCTGAATAAAGTCAATATAGGAAGCAAATTGGCATATTTTTAATTGCCACCATTTTGTTTCTACAAATATTAGGAAGCTGATATTTTTTACAGAACTTTTTAAAACCTTCATCAATTTCATCAATTTAGTTAAATTTCAAAATGTCAGGGTGTCTAGTAGTCGGGAAAGTCGGGAATTAGTATTGAATTTCAAAATGGTCTTGAAAAGTCGGGATTTAGTCTTAAATTTGATTTCAAAGTCGGGAATTTTCATGATTTTGCCGCGATCGTCGTCTTGCGTTTACGTAACCGCGAAATCCAATGATGACGATGTCTACACGGCCTCGGGAAATGTTCACGATTTTGCCGCGATAGTGGACGACGACGATGACGTTTCCGAAACCGCGGGAGATGACGATGATGTTTCCGTGACCGCGGGAGACGACAATGATGTCTACACGGCCGCGGGAAATGTTCATGATTTTGCCGTGATCGCTGACGGCGATGATAACGTTTCCGTGACCGCGGGAGATGACGGTGATGTCTAAACAGCCGCGGGAAATGTTCATGATTTTGCCGCGATCGCGGACGACGACGATGACGTTTCCGTGACCGCGGGAGACGACGACGACGTTTCCGTGACCGCGGGAGACGACGATGACATTTGCTCGGCCGCGGGAGATGACGATGACGTTTCCGTGACCGCGGGAGATGACGATGACGTTTCCGTGACCGCGGGAGATGACGATGACGTTTCCGTGACCGCGGGAGATGACGATGACGTTTTCCGCGAACGCGGATGACGACGATGACGTTTCCGTGACCGCGGGAGATGACGATGACGTTTCCGCGAACGCGGATGACGACGATGACGTTTCCGTGACCGCGGGAGATGACGATGACGTTTCCGTGACCGCGGGAGACGATGATGACGTTTCCGCGAACGTGGACGACGACGACGATGGCGTTTCCGTGACCGCGGGAGACGACGATGACGTTTCCGTGACCGCGGGAGACGATGATGACGTTTCCGTGACCGCGGGAGACGACGATGACGTTTCCGTGACCGCGGGAGACGACGATGATATCTGCTCGGCCGCGGGAAAAGTTCATGATTTTGTAGCGATCGTGGACGACGACGATGACGTTTCCGTGACCGCGGGAGATGACGATGACGTTTCCGCGAACGCGGACGACGACGATGATATCTGCTCGGCCGCGGGAAATGTTCATGATTTGGTCGCGATCACGGACAACGACGATGACGTTTCCGTGACTGCAGGTGACGACGATGATGTCTACAAGGCCGCGGAAAATGTTCATGATTTTGCCGTGATCGCGGACGACGACGATCACGTTTCTGTAACCGCTGCAGTCAATGATGATGTCTAAACGTACGGTACGCGGAAGATTTCATGATAAAAAAAACCAAATTGGCTAGTTAGAATTTTGTATTGCTGCATTATTTCTTTACTTGAAAACACCACATTATCATAATACTACTTTATGACAAAGACAGGGGTTGGTGTAGTATTATTTAGAACATTTGGTTAAGCTATCAAGAATCGAGAATCGATACATTTTGGTATCAACACCCACTAATTGTTGAAAAAACTAGTCTTGAAAAATCTGGAATTAGTCTTGAAAAGTCTGGAATTAGTCTTGAATTTTATAATAAAAATAAACTAGACACCCTGAAATGTTCAGTTAATGGGAAGAAAATAATTCATAAATGGGCAAATAATAAAAAATCAATGGTTTAAACTCCTTTGTGATATAACCTGTGTGTAATTTTATCAAACAATCAGCAAATCTCATAAAGTCAAAAACGATACAAGATTAATTTCCTGGAAAATTGTATTCTACCTATTTTTTGTCATCCAAGTTTCAAGAACTTGGATATTGTGCCTATTACTTGTAGAATTGTGGTCATTATTGCAGTTTCGAGGCTATCACAATGAATTTCAATTTTTAGATGCAGAATGAGATGATTTCCACCAACGAGATGATCGAGTCCCCGGTTCAGATACAGATGTGTACCAAGTCTGGGTGTCTTAATCAAGCAACTCTGGTCTGCAGCAAGTGTCAACAATCGGTATACTGCACAACCAACTGCCAGGTAAGCATACAATGAATGAATCAATCAATTCAGAATCAGAACGTACAGATACATCGTACATGAATGCGTCATTATGTTATTTTTAAATAACATAAATATACATATTACTTTAAAAGATTTATTTAACAACAGTTTTTAGATAAAATAAATACGTTAAAAAATCATCCAGACTGTTAAAAGAATTTCCTATTAAAATTTTTTTCAGTTTCTTTTAAAATTTAATTGTGCTTTGTTCCTTCCTTATGCCATCTGGGAGTTGATGGATAAATTTAATGCCAATATACTAAGGACTTTGCTTATATTTTTCTTTTTTATGATTTTTAATTGTGAAATTTTGTTTATATCTAGTATTTTAATTGTGGATATCCTGTTGTCGCTCTAATTTTGATGCATTATTTTTACATAAAGAATTGTTTTATAGACATATAAACATGGAACTGTTAAAATTTCCAAATCTTAGAAATATTTTCTTAAAGAATTTTTGCTAGAGATTCTTTCTAAATTTAGGATGTGTCTTAAGCTTCCATCTGTAATAATAAAATTCTTTTTAAATTTTGATTACTTGTACCCCCATAAATATGTTTTGCAGGGCTGACGTTGCCATATTTATCATTACACCATTATGGTGAATGTCGGCAAAATTATCATAAAATTGCTATAGCTTTTAATTCGTAAAAAAAGTTAATAGTCTGACTAATTTAAATCATGTTTATATAAACTCATTAGAAAATTATCCTTATATTTTGTGTACGCCAATACCACAGTTGTAAAAGTACAAAAATTATCGTCCATCTGGCAACACTGAGTTTGAAGTAGAACTGATCTTTTCTTTATGTAAAGACCCAATGAGATTGCGTCATTTAGATGCATCGATGTTCCTTGCAGTAACTTATCGATTTGTAAAACTAATCACAAATACTGATTAAAGTGAAAAACTATGATGCAATAATAGGTTATTTTTATTGTTGTATTTCTATATTTTGGTATAAAATATTTTCATGGCAGTTCAAACTAAATCTGATACTGTACTTTATAATATCTTCAAGAATCATCTGCCTATGATATACTTACTAGTCAAGAGACTCCCTTGTAGACTATAGACTATCGCAACCTGATAGAGTCATTCAATGCTTTACAGTATTTCGTTTACTGCATTGTTATCGAGAGGTATTGTTGACTGTTGTAGGAAAGTGAAAGTCTAAGTTAGTAGTCCTCTTGCTAGCTCTGCCGAATGACAATGGCTGTTTGTTGAACATTTGGTTTACGCTGGTCTAGCCTATATGAATTTAGATAGTTGTTTTTTGTAGGAATGGGGATTAAATAAGGCATCAACACAAAACAAATATAATTTATTAAATACGGGTGTAGAAAATAGCGAATTGGCACTATTTATAGCTACTCGACTCGAATTTTCGAGTAGTAATTACTACTCGACTCGAGGTCGAGTATTTGAAAAAACTTGAGTAATTACTCGAAGGTCGAGTACTCGCCCACCCCTACCAAAGTAGTTTTGTTTGTATTTAGTAAAATATTTTTACCTACGACCGTTTTTTAAAGTAGCCATTTCAGTCCAGTTCTTAGAATTGAAAAGTTTCACTTTACAGCTGTTTACTTTCATATCCGCATAGTTTCATTTCATATCCGCATAGTTTTCTCATATCCACACAGGTAACGGACCAATGAGGTTCAAGTATTGAGAGAAAAGAATTAAAATTGTAATGCTTCGAACGTCAACTAATCAGCTGATCAGTTGACCAATTTAATTGTTGATCCGACTTGTTCATGTTGATACTCGCGTATTCTTAATTAAGTTGGTGGAAGTCCAAAAATAAATTAAATATTTGCCAAATTGTACCTGATACAATATTATTTATGGTAAGAATGCTGCTAGCAATGTAATATTTAACGAAGTTTAACAAACACGTAATTACAGGAAATCAGCTGATTATACAACAAGTCGTTGCATCACTTTCAGTGGCAATGACAATACACGAAAACATAACCTCTCTAAAAAGTTATCATTAGTGATTGTTAGCAATTAAATCCAGATTGATAGTAATTAAAAAACGGTCGTAGGTAAAGTAGTGTACGCAACTCGCGTTAATAGTCTTTACGACACTCGTAGAAGTTTTTAAGGCACTCGCCAAGGCTCGTGCCTTAAATTTTCTACTCGAGTCGTAAAGACTCACTTAACGCAATCGTTGCGTAAACTACTATTATCATTGAGGAAAGGGTTTACAATTAAAATGGCATTTTCTATTTTGGATTCTATACTGTTTGTATTTTTGTCATGTATTGACATACTGATGTCGTCTGCATATAAACATAGTTTGGTATTCTGAATTTTATTAGTTAGGTGTTCCTGCATACCTCCCAGATAACATAAGAATAGGAACGGTCCAAGAACCGAACGTTGAGGAACTGAATATTGTACCTGCCTTAACTTAGATTCTATATTGTACAAATTTTGCCTCTCAACAAATCTAACACTGACATAGGCCTACTGTTGCCTTTCACCCAAATAAGATCTTATCCAGTTCAATTCTTTGCCATAAATACCATAATTTAAGCTTATTTATTATGGTAGGATGGTGAACACTATCAAAGGCTTTAGAAATGTCTAAAAATGCACCAATAATAAATTTATCTTCATCCAAATCCACTAAAATATCTTCAATAAAATATATCAATGCTGTTATGGCGGACTTTTCTATAACCATGTTGATCTTGGTCTAACATATTATTTTTTACAAAATAACCTAACAACTGATAAAGCATACTTTTTCCAAAAAGTTTAGATAGTGATGGTTGTATTGCTAACGGCCAATAAAATACAGCGTAATCTCAGTATCAGCTCACTAAGGTTTCTGCGTCTCTTTGTTTTTATTTTTCATTTATCTTTATTATACTTAGACCTAATTATTTTGTCATCTAGGTTGATCTGAACATTGCTTTGCTCTCTCGGTTAATGCCTCAAGGGTTTTCTCATTATATTTTAAAGTTTTATAAAATTTTACACCCGTCTTCAAAAAAGTGTTATTCTTATTAAAGTTCCATGTAATATAAATGAGCAGTTACGTTTTGAGTAGCAACTTTACCAGTTGCATTCCTGAGCTATGGTTGAATTTTAAGCAAAATATAGAATTATCGTGGTATTTATTTATCTAAATTCAAAAATTCCTTTCAGCTCATCTACAATTGCTTTAGATTTTTGTCTGAATTCCAATCCATTCAATCTTTCTATGGAATTTCTTTACAATTAAATATTTAAATGAAAAATTTGGGCCTGGAAATAATGTACATATTTCTATAGCAGAGTTTCGTTTTTAATATTTGTTAAATTCTAATCAATAGGTTATCGTACTGGGTATCTGCTAAAGATTACTTTAAGGATAACTAATATCTAGATTTGTGTTTTACTTATAACATTTTTTTTTTCTATAAATAGGATTGTGTGTCCTCCGTAGTGATATGTATTAATCACTTTAATTTCTGTTCATTGTTAAGGAATTTCAATTATTATTATTATATTTTTATTTATCAACTTTTAATTTTAGCTATTAAATATAGTTACTGTCAACATCATAACTCTGGTTATGGTTACATTCTTATAGTATATGTTGTTTTAGCATAGTTATTCGCAAAAATATGTTTGGTAATTTCTATAATCTATTATACAACATAAAAACGTTGTTTTCTCAATGTGGGCCGGCCGGATATACTCGGCAATGGACGATCTATTAGTCGAAGTTGAAAAATATAGGTGTGTAAGTCCGAAGATTTATACTGATGTTAGTTTATTTGACTTTTTTCGTGAAGATGATGTTAGAAAAAGAAATCAACTTGGTCTCAGTATTTTGCACGCCAATATACGGAGTTACAGCAGGCATATCGATGAACTTTTTGTAATTCTCAATAGTTATAGTAAAAGATTTGACGTCATTGTTTTAACTGAAACCTGGCAGTGTGACTGTTCTAAGATAGTCGACCTGGGAGGGTATGTATCTTTTTCGAACTCCGTCAGTAGGAATCAGAATGATGGTGTGATTGTGTACGTGAATGAACGTTTAGGTGCGAGTTGTGAAGAAGTAAGTTTATTTGGCGCTACAAGTTTAAAGATAGGTCTAACTTTTGAGAAGGAAAGATTTACGATACTCGCTGTGTATCGTAGTCCTAGGTATGGACGTGACCTAGAGCAGTTTATCTCTGACCTTGCATTGTACTGCGATAGCCGTAGTAGACTAGGAACGTATTGGATTGTTGGCGATATTAATTGTTGTATCCTGCCCGATAATACAGACCCTTTATCTCAACGTTATTTAAATCAGCTAAATGCTTTAAAATTAAGCCATGGATCACGGATGGTCTACTTCGTTCCATCAGGTACAGAGACAAACTTAATAAATTACTAAAGAAACAGCCTTTCAACATAAACTTATTGAACCGATATAAAGCTTACAGGAATACCCTAAGTGTTTCAATCCGGCTCGCTAAAGAACACTATTACCGAGATAAAATTGAAAATGCGAGGGGAAACTCTAAAGTCCTTTGGGAAAATATTAACGAATTGACTGGGGTTAAGAGTAATAAAGACAAGTTTCCTATCAATAGTTTTCTTGACGTTTACAATGCGGGAATTGAGAATGAGATCATTAAAGTTGCAGACTCTTTTAATGAATATTTTGTATCTGTTGGTGCCAACCTAGCCAATGCTATCCCAGCTGTCAATGAGAATATAATGAATGACGAGCGTTATAGTGTCGATTCCTCCTTCCAGCTTCAACCCATCTCAGAATTAGAAATAACTGCAGTTGTCCAAAGCCTTAGAGGTGGCTCCGCCCCTGGTGTGGATGGTATTCCCGTCTCTATAGTTAAAGACAATATTTCCTGTCTGAAATTTCCATTAGTATATATTTTTAACAACAGTATTCTTCAAGGTATTTATCCAGACATTTTCAAAACTGGGAAAGTTGTTCC